GCGTAGCTCGTGCTCTTCTTCGTTGCGCTTTCCTTCCCCTCTTGGACCTTTCCGAACCTGAGCCTTCCAAGTTGGAAGGTTGTTGGTTTACGCCTTGGAGAAGTGTTGGAGCTAGGTGTCAGGTCGCCTAATGTCTCAGTACTCCTTGTCAGTTTTGTGCCATTTTGTCGCACTCGTTGACTGTATAAGATCTGGTTACGTTGGTGGACAGTTTGTCATAACTCGTAACATTTTGTCCTTCTCCATTTTTCACAACACAATTTCATAAAAGAAATGTTATAGTCATGATTATACAGACTCGATAGGATCACTGCAGGTTCACTGAATGCGTGCCTCGGCCACCACTAGCACTGCAGAGGACTCCGGCACGGCAGGAGCAAACATGCTCCTTGAGCCACGCAGGCACATGGCACCACAACGAACCAGAGCAAACCAAAGGCGGCAGCGCAGCAAGGAGATAATCTGCGCGTGTGGCTCCTTGCTCTTCTCAGCCAGGAGAGAGGCGATCCGCGAGAAAAGCGCATTGGTATGCTTGCCATAGCCACCAGAGGCAGAAATCAGAACGGGGACGAAGGAGGCATGCTCGACTTCGCGTACTCGCTCATCACACTTCCGGCGCTTTTCCTGTTCATGGCGTCTTTAGCTAGGAGCGAGGGAGGTGGCACGATTCCAAGACGCAAAAGGGTTGAACACCCGTACATCGATAAAGATGCGCTGGAATCGGCCACCCCACAAACCACTAACCGCAACGTCCGACCGAGCCTGCTCCTCCGTGACAGCTGCATGTGCGATGGTGGAAGACCTCTCCGGTGACGGGCTGGAGATGAGGTTCAACCGTCAAGTTATGAGCGACCTGCCTCAGAGCTTTGGCGGTGATGTCCCTCACATTGGTATGGCGCAGCGTCGGGAAGCCACCAAACGGGCACGACAGGGCGTGACTGACATTCAGCGGCTTACTGCACACGCGGTGGCTTGGGAGTGGAGGAGGTGTCCAGCCGTACCGGAGGCACAGGCCATCCCGGAAGTCTCCCTTGGTGAGGGTGAAACCATGGCGGCTGAGTGAGGGGGCGGCAGGTCAGCCAGCTGGATGCACCCTTTTCTGAGGCCAGGTCGAGAACAGGGGCCAGCTCCCAGTGATCCAAGCGAAGTGCGTCAGACATGGATCCTGCTGCATTCCGCTTCTCGGGGGGGGGGGGGGGGGGGAGGGGACTTGGCTGCACTCCGCTTCTCGGCACGAACCGTCGCCTTGACCGTTCGGACCCGAGTCAGAGAGTCCCCAAGAGACGACCCCTGCTCTGTATTTATCAAAGTTTTTGTTATTTTCTCCCTGAAACCATAATTATTAGCTACATGTATATACATGTGCATTATATAACCCAATACTAGTACAATACCAGTATTAGATAAACCTTGTTATACTTACGACATGTAGCTAATCATGGTTTTAGGGAGAAATACAGCAAGTGCAAAAAGCGAAGTTGAAAACTGGCTCGCATATCGTCCGCTATCCCTTCATGGATCTGTGCTATCCAAAAGCGAGTTCCGTGGTGGTTGGGCATTGCGCTATGGCTGGCGGCCTTCTTGTTTACCATCAACCTGTGTCTGTGGAGCCAGTTTCACAGTAGCCCATGCCCTGACATGAAGCACCGGAGGTTTCCCCTCACTTCGACACAATGAGGTGCGGGACATCACTGCCTCGCTATTGAAACGTGTCCCGAATAGTGTCACCATCGAGCCACACTTGCAACCGCTATCTGGTGAGCAGCTCCACTACAAGACTGCCTCCACAGAAGACCAGGCTCGACTTGATGTTGCGGTAAGTGGTGTTTGGGGAGGTCGATTTGAGAGAGTCTTTCTCGATTTTCCGGTTTTCAACCCCTTTGGTCCCTCAAATCGATCCTCTTCCATCACCGCTTGCTACCAGCGTCATGTCTCATGAACGAGAAAAACGGAGGTGATATGAACAGCGCATCAAGGAGATCGAGCACGGAACCTTCATGCCTGTGGTTTTCGCAGCAACCGGTGGTATTGGTCGAGCTGCCTCCGCTCTCCTCAAGAGAAAAGCTGCAATGGTCTCCCACAAATTTGGTGAGCCATACTCTGCAGTGATGGCATGGATCCGCTGCAGGTTCAGCTTTGCCCTTCTTCGTGCCAGCGTGGCTTGTAGGGGTGTGCGGAAAATGCTCGAAAAGGTGGCAGATTCTGCTCGAAAAGCAGTGAAAATGGCAGAACCATACAAACCTTATGGCGGGCAATTCCTCGAATTCTGCTCCATTTCTTTATCCACATACCAAACATGCATGAAACTTACCAGAAAAAGTACCGAATTCTGCCAATTTTTCTGCCGGCATTACCCGCATAATAATAATGTATGCCTAGTGGCTTGCCTGCGTGGTGCACGACGGCTGTATTCGCAGTTTCGCGCCCGGAGGTGGCTGAGTCATCCGCTCGACTCGCTGAGTCGCTGTGCCTCGCCATCATTGCTTTTCTGGTATGGTCCATGCCCATGTTTTTATTGTAATACTATCATTGTGTCACTTCTGCCCGTACAAGAGGCCGGTTTACTAGGGAGTAGGCATCGGCGGCTAATATAAGTAGAATTATTATGCTTGTTTTAGTAAACTAGCACTGCCGAGCATTAAAGTGGCATAATCGCAGCAAACTGGCATTATGGGTGCTTTTGATGCCAACTACTTGGTACTGAACTAGCACTATGTAGCAGACGAGCGAAAACTCGTCACACGCGCAGTCCGCAGCCGTCTGAGGCGTGATGTCTCCAGCGTCATCTGAATCCTGGTCCCCATCTATTCTCATCTAGCTAGCTATACCCAGCACTCCTACACTCTACATAATATTGTGTACCCGTAGTTCAACATTAACATGCCATGCCCATGGTTATCCAAAACGCAAAAGGCGAAAATCTCGCAACAGCTAGTGTGATTAGATGTGTTGTTGCGCCGCGGCGCCGGTCAAAAATGCTACATAAATTATTATTATTATTATTTATTCACAATCACGTGGCACTAGCCAATGAAATGGTGATGTGGGCGATATAGCCAGCCATGGCGGTAATAGAGCTAGAGGGTAATTGTTGCAAGCCACGTGGTTCTTGTACATGTACTAGTCAGCTACCTTCTAGGTTTCACTCCTACTGTCGTACACATAGTCCGAAACTGTAATCTTCACCGCACATATGGCTATTTCGAGAAAAGTGATATTAGTCACCTTTAGTCGATCTTCCTTCGAAGCTTCCACTTTAGTTCTAGTGTCCGTGATATAGCGGGAGCGGCCAGGTATGGAGGTATGGATGGCGGAGGTAGTCGTGATGGCGACTAGTCATTTATAAAATGGTTGAAAATGTGTCAGCGTCGGAACAGTCGGATGAAACTGAACCAGAAAAATTGCAAAAATCGAAAGGAGCTTGAATATCGCGCTCAAGATCAATTCAGCGGAGCTGAAAGCCAACGCTAACGTGGACAAGAGTGGGTCAAGGACAATCTACGAAGGTTGTGCGTAGCAGCCTTGTCGTTAGACGGTTACGGAGTTCCCTCAAAAGTTTCTGACCATCTCTACTGGAAAGTTGTTTAGTGAAGTTTAACAGCTTGTAGTGATGCCAAAGTGATGCCAAAAATGCAAAACGCCTTTTGAAATGCTTCGGAGCGATATTGCCGCAGTAAGCAGCAGAAGGTGAAAGCTAAGATCCATCAATCGACTTGATCAGTCTCATGGAAGCAGTAGAGGAGTACTGAACATATAGACGGAAGAAGCCTCGCCAAGCCGCTTACAAGTCTCCTGCAGCTGATGTTTCCAATAGTGTTGATCATCTGCCATGGCGAAAGATCAAGATGACCTCAATTGGCAGAAGGCTGTCACTGAAGATGACCTCAATTGGCAGAAGCCTCGCGGCTGTAAATGATTGTGCTCACCATCCCACCGTGATCCTCATCTTCAGCTCCTGAATGAGTATTCTTCTCCCCAAGTCGACAATGTCATACCAGCAGCAATGTGGAATTGGAAGGTCACATCGCTAATGCTGCAGTACAGGGAAACTGAGTAGGGAGTTGTGAGCTTACAACTGAGCTGGGTCCCTACTGCACAACGAGAGGCAGAACATAATCGGTAGTCAGGCTTGATTTTGTTTACCCCAATACATTTGCATTCACAGTCATTCAAGAGAAAAAATGATTATGATATTGAAACCCCGAAAGGAATGCATGTACGTACTTTTATATTTGCCAGACACTGTCATATGCTGCAGCCGATTTTGAATTTATGACGTTCTTTACGATCCTTTTTACCCACCGTTGAATTCTCACTTCGGTTACGTGCATTAAAGTGCAGAACGAGCATTCAAACTAGCATTATTTGCTGAAATAACGAGCAGTGCTAAAAGCATTATCAGTAAAATAAATGAGCCGCTGCCGGATTAGCCGCCGATGCCTACTAGGGAGCCCTGAGGAAAGGGCTACTGGTGAGCCAAGGAAAAACTTTGTAACATGGAAATTGTGGACACAGGTTATGCGATCGAGTCCACCAACTGGTTTAGTTGGTGGACTCGATCGCATAACCTGCGCCCACAATTTCAATGTCACAAAGAACTTAACTTCCGCTTTCTTCATTTTTGATGTTGTTATGAGTGCACAATAATTGATCTTCAATGATTTATTGCCCTTATAAAGGTCAATATATTGACCTTTGATTCCCACTCATTTTAAAAAATTGCTTTGACTCAATAAAATTTTACCACTGCACTTTTCCATGCAGCACTGCACTTTTCCCCCTAAAAAGGAGCCTACTTTTTGTAGTACATGTATTTTCAGAAACCAATAAATACTGTTTATTAATACCACTCATACCGTACAAAACCTGAAATATTTTTTGCGCGTACGTAATTGTACGGTACGACAACTATTATAAAATTTGCAAAATAGAAGCTTGATTTGATTTGATTTCTTGTAAAATACTATGGTATATTTTTATCTCCTTCCATTTCTCTCAGACTGACTTACGATAATACCAGTATTTCTGCTAAGGCTCACGTCGCAAAGGGACACCAGTAGTATATGTAGATGTCGTCTCTCAACTGCAAGTGCTGCGGCTCATCGAGCACAATCCTGAAGTTTGTCTCCTGCCTGCATACGTTGTGTGTGCCCTGCTTGCGAAACAACATAGCCTTTGACGGTTCTATCCAATGTCCACAATGTTTTTCTAGAACCGAGTTACGTTTTGGCCTTGAGCCATTATGTTCCCTTCCGAATGCTGTGGTCGATGGAGATTCGGTTGCAGGTGACAAGAGACAGAACACACCAATAGTATGTGAAGAGTGTGGAGATGATACCTTGGCGACAAGCAGTTGTGACAACTGCCATGTGAAATTGTGCGATGCTCACGCTGGTGTTCATCCGCTGAACAAAACCACAAAGGGACATGTGGTCAAGCCATTATCCCAAGAGACGCCAGGCTCGTCTGCTGCAGGATCGACCAGCAGATCTGCTGCTACACAGCACAGGTGTGTACTGCATACAAGTGAGTTCGTTGATGGATTCTGCGTACAGTGTAACCAGTTGCTGTGTCCAAAGTGCAAGCAGGCACATTCACTCAAGAAAGATCATCAAGTCTTGGACATAGCCAGTGCTGGTCAAAAGACTCGGGATATGCTAGCAGATAAGCTTGCCAGCAGTTCATCAACATGTGATGGTGTTATAACCCAAGCATTGAACAATGTTCAAACAAACATTCGGAAGCTAAACGACCAAACAGAGCAGGCCTCAGCAAAAGTCACGGAATTCTCCAAACTGTTGATCGACTCAGTTGAGAAACGTCAGAATGAACTCCTTGCTGAGCTGGATGACATGCGGTCTAAGAAGATTCTGTCATTGGAGAAACAACAAAGTCGACTTCAAGAGTGCGTGTCGCCAGAAGAGACTGCTGCAAATATTATGAAATATATCACAGACGATGTTGACCTGCTCCGTATATGGACATGGATCGACGAGTCACTTAACAAAGCGGTAAGAGTGGCCGAAGAAAATAGAGTTCCGTATGTGTCCAGTGGGCTTGTGTTTGCCAGCACTGACGCCGCACAACTACTGAATGACATTGGCAAGTCTGGTACTGTACTGGATGTAGCTGATCATGCTGTACTGGATTGTCCAAACAAAGCAATGACTCATGATGATGTCATGCTCAGAGTTGAGATGATGCCATCACCTGCTGCTGATGCTGGCAGTGCCAGTGCTACCAATACCAGTGCATGGCATTTCAGTCAGGATGAACTCCACAACATCGGACTGCAGATTTCCATAGAAAATATTGACGAGGATCATTTTCCAGTTGTGAGTCACGTCTTTGAATCATTACCTGGACGTATAGAGGTTGGTCTTGGTCGAATACAAGCTGGTCGCTACAGTGTCTCAGCTATGATTGGCAACAGGCACTTGCAAGGCAGTCCACAGCAACTCATGGTAACATCCACTGAGACTGATAGCAGCACATTGAAGCAGCATGTCAAGGTAAGGTTCGATGAAAATGTACCCCTCCTCCTCCTCCTCCTCCTCCTCCTCCTCTCTCTCTCTCTCTCTCTCTCTCTCTCTCTCTCTCTCTCTCTCTCTCTCTCTCTCTCTCTCTCTCTCTCTCGTTCTCTATCGCCCTGTTGGGAAATCGAGGATTTGACCTTATTGAGTTCCGAATGAACCCGCTCTGTCCCGATTTCCTAATCAGGTGATGCGCATGCGGCGAGGCTCAAAGAGTCGATATCTACTTCGAAGTATTATCTATAATGACCCCAAACATCATCAGGCACGGCCACATTTCCGATTTGAATCAAACCTGGCTTCTTTTTTTAATTTTTTCTTCACGTTGCTTTTCGATTGACCAAAGTTGACCAACTTCATCTTTGACCTGTTTCTTCCAGAAAACTGACCTTCGGATACCAGGGCGGCGCATTGGGGTGGGCTCCTTTCGAGTTCTTATCAGTGCCTTCCCGTCACCAAAGGCTTAGTTCCTGGTCTTTTTTCAGGCGCGCCTTGCTGTTTAGCAGTTTGCGACAGTTAATGAGATTGTATAGTTTGTTGCTCGCTGTTCTCTTGGTCAAAACATCAATTCTGATCTTGATCTTGTTTCAGATTGTACTCGCTCAGGCAACGACGATCCTGAACAATTTGACTCCACGTAATTTCAAGGCACTTGCTGCGGAGATTTATGAGTTGCCAATAAACTCAGAAGAGCTGGTGAACGGTTTGGTAGAGATCATCTACAACAAGGTAGGGCAACAATGCTTCAAAGTACTTCCAATGGTTACTACTGTATTACAGGAAATTAATTATGTTCTGCAGTATTGTGCTGTATGCAGCTGTGCACTACTACAGTTGTACCACTGTGTGCAGTTATCCACTTGCTGTATACAGTTCAACCTCTGTATGCAGTCATGTCCTGTATACAGTCCAAACTCTGTATGCAGTCATGTCCTGTATACAGTCCAAACTCTGTATGCAGTCGTGTGCTGTATACAGTCATGTCCTGTATACAGTCTAGTATCTGTATGCAGTCATTACTGTATACAGTCCAACCTCTGTATGCAGTCATGTCCTGTATGCAGTCCAGTATCTATATGCAGTCATGTACTGTATGCAACTAAGCATCGGAATGCAGTCATCCACTGACTGCGCAGTCAAACCTCTGTATGCCGTCGTGGACTGCATAGAGTATATAGCCAAATCCCTGTTCGCCGTATGCTGCAATGTGCTGTTTTCAGTCAAACATCTGCATGCAGTCTCATGCACTGCTGCATTCGAACCTCTGCATGTACTGTTGCGAACATTGCAATCTGAGAAAATGTGTCCGCAGCCGGATACGCTGACCTTGTAGCCATGTGTATGTATGCGGTACTATGTCTACAAATCCTGGTCAGGGTTCGGAAAATGTGCTCTGCTTTTCCATGTGTCCAGTCAACTTCGCTAATAACGACTGCGGATATAACGACAATTCGCGAATAACGACAGCATTTCTATGCCCAGAGCAAAGTCCCATCCAGCTGTAACACATATAATGAGACTTCGGGTATAACGACACTTCGCGAATAAGGACACTTTTCTGATGCCCCGCCGAGTGTCGTTCTAAGCGAAGTTGACTGTACGTGTATCTATCCAGCCGAAATGGAACACCTCGCTCCGCTCCGGGTATGTGTACATGTGATACACATTCAGCATTTAGATGTGTTTGCTGCATGCGCTCTCTACACAGTGATAGGTACGAGGGCGACTCCTACACAGTCATGGCACTGGACCCTAGGCCCTGGCCATTGCACTTGCACTGGGTCTTCGCATGTCCACAGCAGTAGCAACTAACCATTCCCAGGGTGCGTGCACACAGAGCGCGTCTCTATGGGCAGGTGTTGTTTCAACTTTCAGTATAGGCCAGACGGTGTGGGGACCTGGTCTGGGCTGACCAGATGTTAGCCCATTCAGGGTCACAGTGCATTTAGACGAGAGTGTCGGCGCAATGTGATTCAGTGCATCAGCTCAATTGTGGAGATCGCAGCAAACAAATTATCACAAGTTTGTATCTATGGTTGATACAGATGGTGGTAAACACACACCCGGCAATATGGCGCTAAATACATGCCTGCCCGCACACGCTCTCCAGGTTGCAAAATTATTCTGGCACAGAGCTCTCCTTCTCACCATCACCATCATCAGTTCGCGCCTGGCGCCTGGTCGATGCATGGCTGGTGGTATCCGACATAGCAGACTGGTACATCAGGTAGCGCATGGCACATAGCAGATGACACAGCAACGACATACATGTAGTTCGATTAACTTTGCAGCCTAGAGAGCGTGCGTGGGCAGCCGTGTATTTACCACCATATTGCCAGGTGTGTGTTTACCACCATATTTATCAACCATAAGTACAGCTGCAATGGTGTCTTCGACTTCATTCTCCCGAGTCAAGCTCCGTGTGAAGACAGCCAAGAAGAAGATTGCCTGATGAGTCCAGCGGGGACGAAACGTACGTTGCAATCGAGCTACATGTATGCCGTTGCTGTGTCATCTGCTATGTGCCATGCGCTACCTGGTGTACCAGCCTGCTATGTCGGATACCACCAGCCATGCATCAACTAGGCGCCAGGCGCGAATTGATGATGGTGGTGGTGAGAAGGAGAGCTCTGTGCCAGAATAACTTTGCATCCTTAGTTCCTAGAGAGCATGTATGGGCAGGCGTGTATTTACCGCCATATTGCCAGGTGTGTGTGTTACCACTATATGCATCAACCATAAGTACAGCTGCATTGGTGTACTTAAGTAGGAAAAGTTCATAGCTATTTTACGGATATTTTCACCTCATCGATTATTCACAAATTTTGTATCTCGGCGGAATTTCACAGTTCTGGCTTACTGGGAAAGCTCTCTTCCTGCTCGTCATCTTATTCTTGCTTCCAGAGCAGATGGCACACCAAGGACACCCTAAACCCGTGAACCGTGTCCCTATCGTACACTAGTTTAGCATCGAAACCATGCACAACAATTTGTTCTTCCATTTGGGCTCTTACCACGTAGAACTGTGACTCAAACTGCAACGAGCTCGTGAGATTCAAACGATTCAAGGTGCATCTCCCTCCATGGAAGATTGACCATGTACCGGCGTCCATCATGCTGGATGGAGTGGAGAAACGTCTCCATCACCTCTTGCTCGTTGGTCGTTATTCCGAGGGATTCCAAGGTCCAGAACGTCTGGACGGCATGGAGAAGCTGCTTATCCACGTCGACCTCCGAGGGGACAATGTTGCAGCTAGCATGTGAGACTGGGTGGACGGACCATGGTGTGGCTGGACAAGGGAATGGCTGATGGCCCTGACAGGACCCACCCGAGCCGTGTGCCTACCGCTGTCGGCCCATCCTTATTCCGCCGCACATCACCGGTGGCAATCTTCCAATAATAGTCTGCACCGATGAGGACGTCAATCTGGATAGTGCCTGCGCTGTCATCCGCCAGGGGTAAACCCTCGAGCGCCGCGTGCTGCCGGGCGGCTAGCTGCGGATGCTGGTTGTGGACGGGTGGGCACATAGCGTTGGACACAACACAGTCCAAGTCGATCACCCCGCCGTCGGTACATTGAACGCGAAGACGGACGAACTGCACACAGCTGGCAGCACTGCCCTCGCGAGAACCAAACAGATTCAGGCAGATCAACTCATCCTGAGGGGTTGGTACACCCAGCTGCTGTTTCACTTCGTACGCCACGAAGGATGTCTGGCTGCCGCCGTCCATAGCTACTTTGACGGTGGCGGTGCGGGTTGGGTCTGCTGGGGAGCAGACTGTAGCGTTAGCCGTCTGGAGCAGCACGGCTCCACCATTGCCGACCGTGCCCACAGCTGCGGACGTGCTCCCTTCAGTAGAGGGGTCCCTGGCTGGCGACGTGCGTTGCTGAACGGACTTGGTGGCCGTGCTGGAAGACTTGCCCTTGCCAGCAAGCGCTAGCGTGTCAGTGCATTGGTGTCTTCTACTTCATCTTCCCGAGTCAAGCTCCGTGTGAAGACAGCCAAGGAGAAGATTGCCTGATGAGTCAAGTTTGCATCTATGAACAAAATTAAACTCGCGCTCATGTCAAGCAACAAGGTAGGAAAAAGTTCATAGCTATTTTACGGATATTTTCTCCACATCGATTATTCACAAATTTTGTATCACTGCGGAATTTCACAGTTATGGCTTACTGGGAAAGCTCTCTTCCTGCTCGTCATCTTATTCTTGCTTCCAGAGCAGATGGCACACCAAGGACACCCCTAAACCCGTGAACCGTGTCCCTATCGTACTCTAGTTTAGCATCGAAACCATGCACAACAATTTGTTCTTCCATTTGGGCTCTTTCCACGTAGAACTATGACTCAAACTGCAACGAGCTCGTGAGATTCAAACGATTCAAGCAATGTATTCAGTCCCCTTCCTGCTCTTGAAATGTCACTGGGAAATCCCTTTAAATGTCTTCCAAGTCACTAAAACTCCCTTGATGGAAGCTGTGAAATGAGTTTCCTTTCCCAGGCAAGGAATCACGGTGGGGCGAGACTTTGGCAATGGTGAAAGGAACACCAAATCAACTACTATCGTAATGTTCCGTTTATCATCGAACCAATAAACGAATCCATACTACACAAGGGTGAATAGAATGTAATTTTGTGTAGCAGTTTTGGCTATTCAAAGATCCAATTGTGTAGCCGTCTTTGATTTTTGATTAGCACTGCTTCGATCCTTAGAGAAACCCTGTTTTTGATGACAACATTATCCTTCCTGAGAGTTCCTTTTGGGATCCCATCTACGAAGTCCCTTATGTCACGCAGAAAGGGCTCCTGCTGTTTGCACAGGTTGCAGAAATTAGCTTTTTTCCGCTGCGTATGTATCCTTCTGACGGCAGATCCATTTCTTTTCAACATGAATGTCTGACAACCACTTTAATATCGAAAAAAAATACTGTGTTCGGATGAGGATTAGTGATAGAGGCGGATCTGCGACTCTGTCTCTCTCTCTCTCTCTCTCTCTCTCTCTCTCTCTCTCTCTCTCTCTCTCTCTCTATCTATCTATCTATCTGCAACTCTGTCTCTCTCTCTCTCTCTCTCTCTCTCCTTCTGTGGGTGTTTGCGTGCGTGCATGTGTGTATGTATGTGTTCACCGCAGGCAATATGTGAGCCAACTTATTGCAAGCTCTATGCTCGTATTTGCAAGCGTGTACAAGTAAGTTCTTTAAGTTAGAAATCATTATACTTGTACACGTAGTGTTGTATTGGTGTCAGGTTGAACTACTCCTGTCCCGAGAACTACTCCTGTCCCGAGAACTGCTTCAGTGCTTTTCTTTCTGGTTGGTTTATTGTAGACTTTGCAAGTGCCGGCTGATGCAGGCAATACAGTGACGTTGCGCAAGGTTATGCTATCCAAATGCCAGAAAGATTTTGAGGAAAGGAAGGATGTGGTCCTTGAAGATCTGAAGAAGAAGCACCTCGGAGATGAAAAGAAACTGACGGTATGTAGAAAACAGGGCTTATTTGTTTTTATACAAAAGAAAAGGACCAAGGAACTACAAGTTACGCTATAATGTCCACTAACACCACCAGTTACTGTTGGAGTGTGCATCCAAGATGTGCTAGAGCTGTTAGGCAGTTAGTTGTAGAACGTCAGTACCGTCGGTCAGTTTTCGTGCAATGTTATCACACGAGCTGATTGTTTAGTAACTGGTGGTGTTAGTGGACATCATAGCGTAACTTGTAGTTCCTTGGTCCTTTTCTTTTGTAAAAATTAATCCTTGGCTCTCTATCCGAGTCCATATTTGTTTTTACATCGGATGTTATGACACCCTACAGTTATCGGAGGTGTTTGAGCCGCAGCACTTCACAATACAGATTGGGGAAAATGTAGGTGTAGGTGCAATAACTCCCTGCGTCCATGCTAGTAGGTTCTTTCCAACTTTTCGTACCTTTGTAAGTGGATGTGTTGGAGTTTGGGGACGATAAGGAAACTTTGCTGTTGGCTGAGTTTCGAAGTCTGGAGAAAATGTTGAACGGTCTCTACTGGGATGACCGCTACACCATAGCTCAGTGGTTAGAGCATCGCTGGCCTCAAGCGAAGGTCCCTGGTTCGAGTCCTGGTGGTGACAGTCAATTTGTTCTTCTTCAGACTTTTCCCATTTGCATCTTTCCGCCTCAAAGCAATGAATACTTTACTGTTGTCTGATAATTGTTTTGATTGTATGCAGAGTGAAGAGTTGAAGCAGAGGACTGCTGATTACGAACATGAGGTCAGCGAGGTCAAGAAGCGGTGGCTCGGCAACATTCAACTCATCGGCGAACTCTTCAAGCTGCAAATAGTAACTCAGCCAGTTGTTCACGAATGTTTGGTCAAGTTGCTGCAGAGTGCTGAAGACAAAGTATCGCTGGAACTGATGTGCAAACTATTTGAGTGCACAGGACACTTGCTCGACCATGAAAGGGCTCGTGTAAGGATGCTAACTGTGTGTTGCGCCTTAATTCATGCCTGTGAAATCTGAGTGCTGACATGCTTGCCGTGTGAGCCAAGCGACGCGCCTGTTGCCCGGCAGTTATACAGCCCCGCTTCGGCCACTCATTGTCTATCATGCAACTCATGACGTGCAGTTTTCAAACGTGCGCTCAGATTTCACAGGCGAGTGCTACACCGTGTGCTGTTGTTCTGCAAGACTCTGCCACTACTGTGTAAGCAGAAATATTCGTCTGGAATTAATTTCGTCTTTTTCGTCCAGGGAGCTTTTGGACTAAATTAAATGCCGGACTAATGTCGATTTGTCCAGCTTTTCAGTACACTCTTATGATCCATGGACGGAATTTACAACCAGATGAACTCCCTTTCTTTGGAGTTGGACGAAATTATTGACCGACGAAATTGTTTGCCTGTACAGTATGTAGCATGGGGTGTTTTGGAGATTGTGATGATTCGTATTTGACTGAAAGTATTTACAATATACTGTGGAAATTTCTGGTAACAGTTGTGTATTTGGCTTTTTTCCCCGAATGCATTCATTATTAATCTGTGAAGTATTCCAAGATTACGCACTCACATTGTATCTGGGCCATATTCACTCCTCTCACAGCAGTATTCCTATCCAAAGAGACATCAAAGAGGGGAGAAGTTTGAGCAAAATTGCATCAGCCGAAAACTCGCCATAACCAAGCAGAGCGCACCACTGTCCGAAGTGTGATCCACTGTCTGACGAGTGCTCCACTCTTGCTCACTGAGCAATACAATCTTTCCATTTTCTTTCTTCTGTTTTCTTTTTCAATTGAATCCTCCCTACCCAATATCCCTTTGGTGCGTCCATGGAGCTATGAAGCCGAGACCTCTGGTCGGCGGAGCTTAATGGGCCCCACCACCACACTCCATCATTCACCCCAGTGTCTGGAGATATGTGGATTTTGTAGAAAGAAAAAAAAAAATAATAATAATAATGCTTCACTGCCTGCAGACTCGAAGAGTACTGTACTAGTACTAGTGCTCACTGTCCAAAGTGTCGGTAAAGTTCGCTACTCTAAAAGTTGTACCAATGACGGACTCCTTAAACAACCTGATGCAGCCAACACCTTTCCGCTAGGATTGCGCTTTATGTCCGCTACGTGCAGTTGAAAAATATCACTAAATTCTCCGCTCTCTTATTTCACCAATGATTTACTCACTACATTCTCGATTCTTGCTCTCCATTGTAGAGTCGCATCGATAACTACTTTCATTATATCGAGAAAATTATGAAGCACGCTGGCAACAAGGCCGTGTCAGCAAGAATACGTCTCATGCTCCAGGATTTGGTCGACGAAAGGAAGGTATGTTCAATGTTTGCTATGCTACTCTCTCTCTCTCTCTCTCTCTCTCTCTCTCTCTCTCTCCCTGACACACACACACACACACACACACACACACACACACACACGCACACACACACCATGTACCATGTACCATGTATACGCCCGTCGCAAGAGAAGCACGCAAATCTGCAAATGCGCTGGATGTGCATGTGCACCCACAGATTTTCTCTTATAGCAACGATAGCGAACAAGATCTGAATGAGACAGATCAAGACTTGCGCCAGATAACTGTCTAATCCACACAACTGGCGAAGCCATGTGAATCGACCACCAATGCACATCTGGTCTACACCACACGGAGTACATTGGCATAAAACGGCCAAGACAGTTACCTATGCACACCCTACACTTGCTGGGTAACCAGTATAGACAGCACGCTGCTTTGATAGAAGCAGACACTAGATGCACTGGTACCTTGAAGTGAAATTGGAGTTACTTTACCAACCAGCCTCGGCTACTGAGTACAGGTCCTCCCTCGTTATAACGAGTCCGGTTAGTACATAAAGCCCGTTAGTAAATAGAAATCTGAAATCCCCTGGCGAAACGTGGTCTATACAACTGTTTACAGGTCCGGTTACAACATAATCCGTTAGTACATAAAATCCGTTATAACGACCCTTTGCCCAGGTCCCTGGAGTGCCAAACCCTCAGTATAAGATAATATTGACCATGCAGGACCAAGGCCAAAACACGTAGGATAAAGCAGAAAGAGGAAACGTAGTATGTCTATGTATTCGTGAATATGGACGATCCTTTGGATCCAAGGAAGAGTTATGTTGGAGATTTTCAATTATCTTATAACGAGTTGAAGCATCGAAAATTTATGTTGTATCGAGGGTGAGTACGAAGTAGTGCCTATTTTACCTTTAGCTGCAAGTCCTGCTACAAGATAAGTCTCGTTATAAGATAACTTTTTCGATGGCCCAGAGATTATCTACTAACGAGGGAGGACCTGTACTAGGAACCCAGAGCCAACAGACATACCAACAACCTCAGCCATGAAAGCTATTAGGCCAAGTAAAAACAAGAGTACATAACCCCCCAGAGTGTGCAACTCCCACATACCCTGCTGTCCCGACAGAATTTCAAGTTGACGTCATTATTTATGACGCAATGCTCCTTGCACCAGTGATTTACAACATGTGTACGGGTGTCAACGCATCACACGTTTTTCTTTCCAATAATTTGTACAGGATCGATCGGCTTCGGTCAACCACAGGTTCCGGATTCGTCTGATAATCCGTGTACAGTGCGCATTGCATCATCAAAATGACGTCAACGTGAAATTCTGTCGGGACAGCACCCATAGTGGAGTTGCACACTCTGGGGGGTTATGTACTCTTGGTAAAAATAATTGATTATTGATCGTCAGCGCCCGCCCCGATTTTTCAGTCCGTCCCGGGATTTATTTTATTTTTTATTTTCGTGATCAACGGTAGAAAACTCGTGTGTTTAGCGAAACGCGAACTTTTTTAGAAGTACGCACGTACGCGAGCTCTCATGTACAGCTTCAACATGCTTTTACCGTAGCGACATCACGCAGTGCAGTGTGATCACAGTGTACTTGTGTGAAATCTGGCAACTACAATACATGGCACTGTAGCCTGTAAAGTGTACCACCTGATATCTACGCCTGCATTCATGGAAACTACGCAGCCACCGCGTACCGCGTCCGAAGCTGTTGTTGATCGATATCCCGATGAACCCGTACTCATGCACGCGAGTGTATGTGTGTGTGTGTGTGTGTCTGTGTGTGTGTGTGTGTGTGTGTGTGTGTGTGTGTGTGTGTGTGTGTGTGTGTGTGTGTGTGTGTGTGTGTGTGTGTGTGTGTGTTGTGAAGAAGAAGGAAGGAAGGTGTGTGAGTGTGTGAGTGTATGTGTGTGTTCATCAGCCTTGCAAGCTGTTGAATGGTGTAATCCCAGCACAAGTTGCTATGTCTACCATAGCTGTTCGCTATCATCGCTTCCGCGATGGGCATGTCTGAGGTATGAAGTGTGTGTGTGCGTGCCCGCCGCATGGCAGCAGTAAATTGTATCACAGAGTCATCTGCACATGTTCAAAGTTTTTGGAGTGTGCCCAAGCAGACTGGTAGCAGCCACAACCAACAATGGTAGTACACCCATAACCCCATAGATGTAATACATGCTACGATTTCAAGACGTCCGGTCGATGCAGATATTAAAAAAAGTTATAAAATAAAAATAAAACCCTCCCGTCCGCCCCGATTTTTCGGAAAATTCTGACGATCAACAATCTTTTTTTTTACTTGGCCTTATAGTAACGACACACTGGATTGTGGAGCCGAAACTAGTCCAACTTCCAAATGCTTTGGCAAGAAGAAGGTAGCCTTCCGACAGGTTGGCACACGCGCACACACACACACACACACACACATACACACACACACACACCTGTCCTGTCCTGTCCTGTAGAGTCACTGCCGCAAAAGGGTCACGTGATCCCATCACTGGGAAACTTGAGAAGAGAGAGAGAGAGGACACGACGCTCGATGACGCTCCAGGTGCACGGGTAGTCGCATCCACTTGCCGCATATGCACACGTGCTGGAAGGCTGAGCGCTCCTCTGCTGTTGGTATATGCGCCACCCTTGAACAGCGATGCCTGCCCCGTCCCCGGACACCGCGAAAGCAGCGACCACACCTGTCACAATGCACGGCACAACATCCCTCCGCCGGTACCAACGTTCCGGTAGCTCCACACACACACACACACACACACACACACACGCACACACACACACACACACACACACTACTACTACTACTACTGTAGCTTGGTTGCCACAAGGGCCACACCACTCCGAAAGGAGCCAGAGTCATTGTCAGGAGCAGAAACGGAGATGACGACTCAGGTCACTCTGTCGACGGAACTGACGGCTGCAGCGAGAACAGCGAACACCATACGACGCTCTATCAGACTTGGTTGCTCGATGGCCACGGTCGCACTTGTGACGTCTGAAACCAGGCACTGACTTGAACACACACACACACACACACACACACACACACAATTCCTGCGGAACTGCCGAAGTTAATGAGAAAATTGATGATGAAAACATTGTGTGTGTGTGTGTGTGTGTGTGTTTGTGTGTGTGTGTGTTTGTGTGTATGTGTGTGTGTGTGTGTATGCATGTGCGTGTGTGTTTGTGTGTGTGTGTGTGTGTGTGTGCAACTACAACTGCAATGCCTCGCCATAGCCTATTGCTTTCACTGCATGGCTATTGCAGTCTTATTACTGGAGATATGTTAGAAATACTGTCTTTTGTGCCTCTGCTTTCCTATGCCGTAGCATGGCTGGAACTCTGCGTGGAGGGCAAGAAGCCCAGAACTCTAGACTTTATGAAGCAGGATACTGCTCAGGCTGAGAAAGCCAAGGCAGCAGAGCATGCATCAGCAGCTCCTCTATGCCACCTGGCAACTCACATACAGTGGTAGGATTCTGCCCGCAGAGGAAGCACGATTGAAACAATTACGGACGTTTGACTACTTGCCAACTGAAGGTATACGGATCTATTTATTTTAGTGATTAGTTATCAATTATCTAGTCAGTCTCACCGAGACTCACGCGAGCCGTGGATTTTCTTAAATTTTAAATCATTTTAGTCTTTCATACGGTTGATCATTTGCTAGCCTTTTGACCAATTTCGTGCCTACGCTACTCACGTTGACAACAATTTTTCTTGCGGTCTTGTAATGATAACTGTAGCACTGGTTTTAGCGTTCTATGGTCTAATAATAATAATAATAACTTTATTAGGATGACCCAAAGGCTGACCGCCTATCGTGGGGTCCGTCGCATTGAAGGATGATGGTACAAGAGAGTACAGATTGGGAAGGGGGGGGGGGGGGGGGCTAAGCACCCACCAGGATTTTTTTCAATTTTTAGTGACCTTTTTTTCATGGATGTTCTAGAAAGAAAAGAGGGTTTGCCAACTGACAACCGCTCCATTCAGTTGCTATACACTCTGATCTGTGTTGAACTGAAAATTCTTTTATTGAAGTGAAATTATTGATGTTTCGAGCCAGTCACCTATCATCACGATTATGCTGTCATCGACATACATGTGCATCAGGGAGTCGGGTATTTTACGACTCCCTGATGTGCATGGTTGTGTACACGTCAAGCAGGGAGTCGTAAAATACGACTCCCTGCTGTCAAGCCTTGCATTTACGTTACATACCAAACTGTGACTTGTAGCTGTGCAAAAGTGAAACAAGTGGTGTTGTCCAAAAATGGCAAAAGTCACTGGTTGCATACCTGGGTTTAGATGACCAGCCGCTTCTAGACCCTTTTTATACCTGCACCGGGTAGGGAGGAGGGGGGGGGGGGGGGGGATGGGGGTTGGTGGCTGCGAACCCAGTTTTTAATGTACTGCAGGACCTATCCACCTCAGAAATTATGTTTCCTCATTCAAGGCAATGTTTTTACATCGGACCCCATGAAACATCGATCGACCTCTCCATGGCTATTTGCTTTGTGTGTTCCATGTCCGCTACTCCCATGGGGTCCACACGAAGGCGAAGAGCAGCAAGATCAGGGCCAAATCGTGTATGTGTGTGCATGTGTCTTCATCTTGCAACTCAACTGTATCTCTCTCTCTCCTCTATACCCAGTACCTGGCAGGAGCATTACCCTATATGACCTGTCTACTTCAAGTGAATAAATGCAAACCAGACAAATTTCCCAAGGATATTCATTTCATAAGTGAAAATAAAATGACACCAAATATTTTGCTTTGCGTGGAAAGTTAACAACGTCCACTTTTCATTAACCTTTATTATTTATTATACCAAGAGTACATAACCCCCCCCCCCCCCCCCCCCCAGAGTGTGTAACGCCGATCCAGTTCTGCATAGGGTCTTGGTCGAGCGGAATCGGATCTTCTGATGTCATGCGTACACTCCACACCAGCGCAAGGCCGGTCTCGAGGCAGGGCACCGTTGTTTTTGATCCGAGAGTACCCGCGACTCCCCGGGTTCCCCTCAGATGTGTACGGTATTATGACGCAAAGGTCCGATTCCGCTCGACCAACCAAGACCCTATGCAGAGCTAGATCAGGCGTTGCACACTCTGGGGGGTTATGTACTCTTGATTATACCAAGCACAGTGAAACCCCAGTATGACTTTAAAAATTAAAATCTGCAGTCCAGTGACCGTATACTACATTAAAATCAACTTTGGTGTCTTCGCACCCTGGAAATTACAGTCTGTATTTTATAGCTGAGGTACTGTAACGGGTAAGGGGCAAATGGCTGGTATAATGCAATGCAAGTCGGGGTCTTCAAATTAAGACGGCTGGTATACACGTTTTGTTTTAGAAATAACCACACAACATTAGATGGCACGAAGCAGCAAGGCAACGATGGTACAATCATATTGAATGGCAGGGGCAGGGGCAGCTTTGCCGACCATATGGTCTCAGCTTCATATCACATAGTGCGTTGTATTCGGATTGCTTTCTACTGAAGTGTTATGATAATATCCGAGGCACTCCATTATCCACAAGCATTAAGGGGGGGGGGGGGACTCGAAAGACTAAAAGTGTCGTCAAGCAACCGTCCTGGGCAGCAGATCAGAACACGTTTCTAGGCTTCGATTTTCAGTCGCCTCTCGAACTCTAGTCTCAAGTGATAGTTTTATACGATTGGTGTGCCGCCATCAAGGCATCTCCACCATACCATCTTACACGTCTCGATAGATGTTTCAATACTGCTGGTTAAGCAAGGCAAGTAGTGTGCTCACTACAATGGATATTTCCATGGCAACGTGCGATGCTGCCGGCAGTGCGGAGGAATACTGCAAGCGCCTCACATTGTTCACATTATTCAATGCGGGCTGAAACCCGGCTTGAAACCCGGGCTGCAACCCGGGCTGCAACCCGGGCTGCGAGTTGGACGGATGACGACCGGTTAGGACCATCAGTCCGGAGTATGCCTGCTGGTGGAGCGTGAACCTGTTCTTGGCCACCACGCTGACGTCGTACCAGACGCTGGCGAGCAGGCCGCTCACCGTGCGGTAGATGTGCGGCGAGCACTGGCCCTGCGCTATCATGCGCCGCCGCTTGGCCGTGGAGATGCCGCAGGCGCTGTGCACAACGCCGTTGCGCACGGCCTGGTTGTGCGGGAACACGTGCACGCAGTAGGTGACGTTCACCGGGTTCAGCACCGGCCGCCACTTCAGACTGACGCTGCTGGCGGTGACCTGGCCGGGCGTGATCTGGCGGTCCCGTGGCATTTGCGGATAGTTCGACATGTGCTGGTTGACGGCGGTGTACATTTCGAACGAACTCGGCCCGTGTGCGTTGACGTTGCTAACTGCGATGCTGAACTCGGTGCCCCGCTGCAACTGGGAGGAGTACTGGCGGTCCACCGATGGCAGGTTGTTGACGAAGTTCTGCGGTCGTGCAACCATCTCCGCCGGTAGCTGCATGCCAGGTGAAGTGCCAAATCCGTAATCTTGAATGCTGTTACCCGACGCATCCAGAATGCTCCACTTCAAGTTCCCAGTGCACGGCGAAACGCCGGAAAGGGTAGCGCTTTGTTGATTCGCTCTCATCCGGAACACTCGTGTTTCCATCGGCAGAAGCGTGGTTACTCGCTCCGCAACGTTGCTCAGCGGCGTTGCAGACCCTTCCGCGGTCGACGCCGTCACGGACAGGTACGCTGTCTCCGTGTGCTTGCGCAGATTGCGGGCAAACACGTCGATGCTGTACTGCGTGCTGGGCGCGAGGTTTTTCAGCACAAAGCTGGTACCGGGCACGCAATTGTTTTTCTTTGTGCCGGGGCGGTAGCGGTGCGCCGCGCACGTGCTGCTGCGGACATCGCTGTCGACCCGATCATCAGTCTTGTGATACTCGACGCAGTAAACTACGTCCTTTCCACCCCAGGGCTCGGCACGTACCTACAGCCACACGGGAAGACAGAACAGCCCGGGCATAGCACTGCATGATGAACCGTTACTGAAGAACTGCACCAGTACAGCGTAACAGCAGTGCAAACATGTAGTCTACTGCAGATCACTGGATATAGCATACCGCACTATGTGATACGAGAGAGAGCTACCAGCTCAGGACCCTCACTGTGCCTGCTTCTTACCCAGGCCATCATACGGACAACTCATTTCGCTGAGTAAGCTGAGCGTGTGGTCACACACAAGGTACGCGGTGTTCCAAGAATGAAATTATGTTCTTCATTCCCCCAAATATATGTCACCCGTTTTTACAATAAACCCCAAGGTTGAAGAAGGGAGGGCGACACGCATTTCAGCGTGATCTTTCCTCAAAATAGCACACTTGAACTTTTTGACGTTGACCTTAGAATGGCAGTATGACATATAATTGGATGCAACTTATAATCGGGGATGTACGGTAAGTGGAGACTTCCAGGATATAGTCGACTATCATGTTTTCCATCTGAGCTGTGATGATATTCATATTCATATTCACAATTCTCTAGGGCAGTCCCCACAGGCCTATGGTCTCCTTACGGGGTACCCTTGTGATTGTGAAAGCGTATTCTTACCGGCATCCATGCTAGCTCTAGCTCAGTGTCGCGTATTGCCGTCACCTTGGCCTGCGGGTCGTTGGGCAGCTGCACGTACGGACTGATGGCCGGGCGCAGCGTGGCGTACATCTCATAGCTCGCCAGCATTGGGCTGTTGTTTGTCAATGAGATGTAGTAGGTACCGCCGCTGGTGTCCTCCAGAAAGTACGTTATAGCGCCGTCTCCCATGCTAGTCCCCAAGCCCGAAGCAAGACCTGTTGCGGCAGGCAATGGCAAAAAGCACAAGAAGTACCTTTTCAGTTGTCAAATAGTAACCTGTTCGTCTTTCTCTAATACAATGATGAAGCTGCAAAAGCAATAGATGATATGCCAAATAACGTGCAACTAGACTTGAGAGGGCATCGCACACAAGGTGCATACACATACTACAATGTGTACATGGTAGACCCTGAGCTCTGCAGGAATACCAGTCACAGGTACCGTACAACTTTGAACTTTGTATGCAACTACTCTGCAATGCCCTCCCAAGTCTAGTTGCACGTTATTTGGCATATCATCTATTGTCTGCCATGGACAATTGGGCAAAATTGGTAAAATGCGCATTACATGTATAGCACGTAACGAACACCCAGCAGGACAGGTACACAACTACGGCCCTAGTACAGACTTTCGTACATCTGCACAAAGGCACCAGAGTATGCACTGTATGTGAAGTAGTTAAATTACAGTTTACCAGCTTCAAGCCTGTTCAGACCCTCACCGGCTATGTTAAAATTGAAGTTGGTGGTCACTCCGCCCGTCACACAGCAGCGCTTCTTCCGCCGCTTGCCAGTTGGGTAGCGGGGATGGCTGAACACGCGCGCACCCACATAGGTGATGTTCCAGCTGACGTGGCCCTGCAAACACGGGCAACAACATACAGGCACAGTTCAGTTCTGACGCCATAATTATACACCTCGCACAAATTCGGGAATATAGTGGACTTTCGTAAGAAATAAATAATATTAAAGAAAAGCTTTTTAAAAAAATTAAAAAACACCAGGAAGTACTAAACAACTGTTTTTTAGTACTCCCTGCTGTACACGTTGTGGAGGCATATACGAGTATACAGATTGGAAGTGCCGCTGTCTAGCACAAAAACTCCGATTCGGCCTTTGGCGGGAACGTACTTTTGAAGTAGCTGATTGGTCATCCACTTGACGGCGCGACTGACCTTGTCCTAAAGCCCACATTATCATGCATAGTGAGATTGTCACACGATGCGGTAAGGATGAAAAAATTGTTTCATTTCTCGTTGGCAGAGTACAGCGAGTAAACAAGAATTTTAATTCATCATTCCAGTCACACAATGATACCAGGGGCGTCGGATACGGTACGGTCACTACGGTATTGACCGTACCACTCTTTGCCCCGGGTACCCCGTGAATCAATAAAAATTAATGCATTGATCTGGACTCTAAAATTCCAAAATGTTCAGCTCTGCCATCCCTCCCCCAAGAGTAAACCGACCGTACCACACTAAAATACCTTCCGACGCCCCTGGATACCATCAGCTAGCATGTACCTGATGGTGTCATGTCTTATCTGGGAAATACTAAGGGGGAAATAGGGTGCGTCCAAAACTGTGGGCCTGAAATAGTACACAATGCCTATTCACTCATACCTCGGTTATCCGGACCCCGAAGTCACGGGTACTTTGGTATACCACTACCAGGCACTATGTGGGTGAGTTTCAGTGGAAATATTACTACTTTTTTCTCACTTTTTGTGTAAATAGTGACGTCATGTGCCACATCTATGGCCATTCCCCATCAAAATGTTTGTGATTCGGAGTTACGGACATTTCAAAATCACGGGCAGTGCCCAGTCCCGGACTGTCCGGGTAAGCGAGGTATGAGTGCATCATAGTTACTTGTAACATTGTGTTGTCATGATTCTCTGCTGCCTACCTGACACGGGAACACTGTTATGCTGACATTGCCACCGGCCGGTACGGTGAACGTGTACAACTGTCGCAAGCCCCCTGGCAGCTTCTGCTTGAGAAGCCGGCGATCCGGCAAGGGTAGATAGCGACCGGCCGCCGTACCAACAGGCGATGGCGGAGCGGGTGGCTGTGCCATGGCCGGGTCCACTGAGTACATCACCAGCATCGTGAACAAGGCAAGCGGCACTGTTCGTGATAGTGCATGGAGCCCACGCTGCTGTCCTGGGGCCGTGCGTGTCATCATGCAGTCTTTTGGAATTGGTCGATGTTCTATACTCCAGAGAGACAGGAACTGGATATATTCGTAGGTGCATGCCAGATCACATCCACGCAAGCACACAGACATACCCATACATGCACACACACACACACACATACACACACACACACACACACACACACACACACACACACACACACACACACACACACACACATGCACAGCAAAGAGAATTTTGTGAGAGACATTACGGGACAATAATTATGCACCAGTATTTTTAAACGTAAAAAATATGTTGATTTTCGGCCACGGGTATTTATTTTTGTTTGGGAGAGTACATACACAGTGCTGCCAAACCGTCCGATTTTCGGACAGTGTCCGATTTTTGAAGGCTCTTCCGAAAACCGGTCCGAAAAGGGAAACGTCCGAAAAGCAGCCAAAATGTCAGAGATCATTACTTTCCTATGCAGAAGTCCTGTACTTTCACTTTTCAGCGCAACTGAAGGCACAAAATCACTGTACATTTGCTTCTAAAAAGGCTAGCGCTTGGCTGTGGAAGTGCAAAGTAACATGCCTGGATCAGGCTGGATGGCATGTACACTGACAGTCTGTACAGAGTCAGTGTGCGACCACACTCATCATTACAAAATTCATGACAACTCTGGGGTTACCATGGCAACGAAGCGAATTTTCATGGTGTTTTAGGCGATATTTTGAATTCTCTGTAAAAAATTTGCCGAGGAGAAAAATAATTAATTCGCACCATGTGGCCAGCCTTGGCTGTGAAGGGTGTCCGATTTTGGGCGAAAATTATTTGGCAGCACTGCATACAGTACAGAGCACACAACAGGTTTAAACTCGTCGCCTTTCTGACCAGTACTTTGAGTCCGTAGTGCAGAAACTGGGTGCACTGAAGAACAAGCCCCAAGCAACGAAGGCGTACACATGTACAAACTCCATGAGAGAAGCGCGTATGAGCGGTTTGACGCCATAGCGATATTCATTGCTATCACAGCAAAAATTTAAGCTGTGGACCCTGGCTAGCGCCAGACGTTACTGAAGTAACGTCTTTTGCATAGCTACGGGAATTAAAACGATATTGGTATACCGTATTGTACTTGATACTTCTGAACACGATCTAACGTTACATTCATATCCGAGCGCCCGGGACACCCCGGGATCGTCTCACCTTGCATGAAAAATCATTCTTCCAGATGCAATGTTCCCGGACGACTGCACTTCACGCTTGTAAACCCTATGCCTATGGTACTTGTCAAATAATCTGAACCCTGACCCTGACCCTGACCCTGACCTGAGCATGAGAGGCTTGCTGTTCGTTGCACTCGGTAGACTTATGAATAACCTGCCTTCTGCGAAATAGAGGCAGCGACTTCAGCGGTCATCTACCCACAAATGAAAGAGAAGGCGAGTTTGGCAAATGGTACTAGTAGATCTACAAGTCAAGTTGGGGCAGGGCGTGTTGGCACTACTGCTCAAGACTAAACGGCGTGGGAGCTGGTTGTTGGCAAACTGCCAAAAGGAATAATATGCGCCACACTACCCCGACCCCCTCAGCCTTGGAATTCTTGATGTTATGCTTGCTTTCAGCGTTACGTTCCCACCGCCTGTTCTGTTGACCCTACATTAGGCTACACTCAAACGAAAAGAGTCTTGTCGTCGCTGGTCAGAGAGTAAACTCGGCAGCGTCAACGACGTTGGTCTGACCAGCTGTTGCAAAAGCATTTCGCATGGGTTCGGCCAGACCCGCATATTCGCCATCCCACTCACTACTTCGTCTTGGTGTGACATGGATGTAGCTAACGAGGTTCGCCCCCTTTTCGGGCATTCGGTTATGAGACAGATCACCTCGCCGTAAGGCGCTGCATCTGCCACCCTGTCGTATGATACTCAGACAACGTGGTTGCCTGGCACGAGCAAAACTTCTCTAACTAACGTGTTACTTAATCTAAGCTGGTTGTGTTTCTCAACAGCCGGCGGTATCGAGGATGTGCATGCGAGCTTTACTTTTTACAACGCAGCAGAACCCGAAGAGCAGCTACGCGAGATACCGATACGTGTGTAGACCTGCAAGCTGCAGGGTATGTAGGGTGCATGACTGCCGAGTGTCGTCTTTGTTTGACAGCTTTCGGTTTCAAGGTCAGCCGTACAGTACCGCCGTTCATCGAGCCGGGTTCAGGGTACGGCTCATTTCACAGCTGTCACTCTCTACACGACGCGTTCAACTAACCTACATTATGTGTATCAGTACTGCAGTCCTGCTGAACGCATTGCCTACACTGGCCACATGTATACAGGCTAGTAGATCCACAGAGGCTATTTCAATGACAACAACTCAATGACAGTAGATCTACGTCCCTAGATCATGGGTGAGCGGGTGTATGGACAGCCGTCACCTGCTAAAGTGGGTCAATACGATTTAACACAGTCAAATCTCTTAAGGACGAACACCAAGGGACAGATGGTATTTGTTCGCAAGAACAGGAGTTCTTCTTATCCATATCGTATAACCATTTTATCCAATAGAGTAATGAGTGCTAGTTCTTCTGAAGCGAAAGTAACGTAGTTTGTCTTATCAGTGTTCTTATTATCGAGGTTCCACTTTACATGAAAATCAACAAAAAAGGCCATACATGTACATGCATGCACCATGCTACTTAGTAACGCTGTGTGAGCATGCATGGTAAATGACCGCCACAATATTATCCAGACTGGGCGATCAAACGGAAGGAGCACTTCCGATGCACGAATTCGACCTGTGGATCTACGCTTGGAACTAATACTTTCATTTGCAAGTACAGTAGTAAACGATGGTGATACCTGATAAGCCTACGTTCGTTGAGTGTCGTTGTACTTGAACGCCATAGGCAATAAGCACAACCCCACAATGCTTTGCCAATGGATTGTTTTGTCAGGGGGTTTAAGATGCAGGAAATGACAAACACACACGCATGTACATTTACTAACAGTTCCTCCTGCTGGGATTACCATTGTCACACATTACGGTTTCGACTGGTCTAGATCCCATGTGTTTCAGCCACTAAACAGAAACGTGTCCCAATGAAGTTAGTATGCCTCTGGGCGAGTGGCGAAAAGGCCATACTGGATTATTCCGCAGACAATATTAGTCGTGGTGAATGTGAGGCTTTGTGAGCATGCGCGTACACACAGGCCCTGAGTGTACATTGTGATATCTACAATGCGGAAATTCTAGCCGGTTGATCTTGCTGTCGCGAGCTGCGTCGTGGAAGGCTACCTATTATTATGTACTTCCTGAAGACTTGCTTTGCGCTGCTGAAGTACATAATAACTGTCAGAGGATGCAGATTCTTCCATCTAGTATGCACCTGTGTCAATATACATGATGCTACTAGTACATGTAGCTCGGTGAAAGACTGAAAAATACGTCATGTAGGTGAAATATGGACACTCTTGAGTCTTTGCACATACGAGCTCTGGTTCTAACAAGCACGATTCATTCTTCATTCGTCAAGGCTACAAGTAACTTCTCCTTGCTCTGGTGAGACTTGTTGGTTGTTGTTGTTGTTGTTGTTGTTGTTGTTGTTGTTGTTGTTGTTGTTGTTGTTGTTGTTGTTGTTGTTGTTGTTGTTGTTGTTGTTGTTGTTGTGTGCCCACTCCAACCACTTGGGCCACGCTACACATGTATATTGTGTTATGACGTTATGCAACAGGATATGTGTATACATGTAATACTAGTCTGACACGTAGTTTTGGCCGGTGCCGTGTGTTACTGGCCCATGTACATCTACATCATGATTGTGTTACTGAGGGGAAACTCAAACTCAAAGGCAGGATTCGGTGTACTCAAATATGTACATGAATTGTACATACATACATGTACACATGATACACCTGCATGGACAGAACGAGAGCGTGGAAAGGACGGAAGGGTAAACAGGCGTATACAGATCAAGATCCTCCATCCATTTGCTAAAGCTATCCATTGGTCGAATCTCTGCAACCGGTACGCGTATATCAGTTGTGCAACGACACAGCTACAATGTACGTAGTCATGTGACACGACTGTTGCCTGTGGCTAGGCTAGGGCCAGTAGGGACATAACACGTACATGTATGCTCTGCCAGCATGCACCTCATTGCGCAATGCCATGTTGGAATAACCCGTGTCCTGTGAGCCATGGTGAACTCGGTTAGCGATGACCGTGCCCTACACCACAGCGAACGAGCTACATAGCACTCAAAGGTGCACGGTGACTTACCATCTCGTAAATTTGACCCGGTAATGGTGAAGGCGGTCGGAGACACAAATACGCTCAATGACACCTGACGGAACACAGTGAAGTTTCTAGTGTTGTCTGATTGACTTTATAAGGTATTTCGGTCAACCCCACAGCAGAGGCAGAGTGGAAACCACTATACATAGACATCTTACCCCGACAACTCGAGGGTCGTGGACTCGTGGCTGTATATAGAAGCGACTCATTGATTTCTAGGTGAACATTAGCCGAATAACCAAACCGAATGCGCGGCCGCAAAACTACGGAAATATTCAAAGAACTGATCCCGAATTCTATGATGGGGACGCGTCTCTTGCAGAAAGGTGGAATGGATACCTGTCCAGTCTGAAAATGTTTTTGCACATTAATAATATGTTTCACTACAGTAAGGCGAAGTGAATAAGCTTAGCATGAATCCAGGACCGGTCTGTGACAGTGAAAATGCGTCCCGATAATTCCACACTATTGCCTATGCCACACGCTAAGGCTTGTTCATTGGTGAGCTATCCAACCAACCATATCCGATAATTTACTTCGATGAAAGGTTTCCGGGCACAATGCAAAGTCTAGACCTCTGTTCAGTTATCACGATTGCGTGTAGCGCCAAGTTTGATGTATTTTCCTGCGGTATCAAGAGTTTACACACAACCACGCACGTCCTATCCTGTACTCAAGTGGGGTATGGACTGTCACTGAACGCACGTTTTGTCGACCTTCAAAGACAGATTTTGTACTAGTGCCCCAAACTTTTAAAAGTATACTATAGGGGCGAACACAACAGAACTCACCTGCTACGATAGCACAATCAGATAGATCCTCCTCCAACTGAAAATACTGCAGGTGAGTGAGACCGCTCACAATCCGACTACTATAATAAGGTTGGTTCAGCTGGCAAAAGGATCCATTGGGTCTCAAACTGCACGTGTAGGTGCACGTATAACTCAGAGGCGCAACGTTAACGCTCAGGACAGGTGTACAGCACTTTGACAAAGTGAAACCTTCCTTTTCGTGCTGTAAGGTCTTATACGAGGCTCGCCAGAACTGGAAAGCGTGCAGCGTGTGAGCTGTGCTATAAGGTCTGGATGTGTTGGAGAGGACATGCGAGTGAGCTAGCCGATGGTGGGGTAGGTACCCTGCGCATCTGTAGCCGCAAACGACGAGCTCCTCACCTGCTATGGCAATGGGCAGCGTGCTGTTGCCCAACAGAAGATGTTGCAGCGATTTGTTCGCATATCCGCTTTATGTTCAGTCCATCACGGGGGAAGATGGTCAAGCATGGTGACCTTCCATAGCACTGATGATCAGATGATGATGAATCAGACGAACAAATAGCTATCATTGAAATGGCTCCCTGCGCTACAGATGGCATGGATGGTACGCAGTGCATTCTCGCCTTGTAGCGACATGCTACACTGAATGCGTGTCACTGTGTGCGCAGGCTGTGGCTCGGAGGTGGACGGCTCCAACAATATCCTGCTAACTAAGTAAGTTTGGAGCTATTGTCCTGCGCCCAGTGCATGCCGTATCCATTCTTTGTAACACAGACTGGCTCGCCAGCTCCTATGACGATGGCTATGGATTAAGGTTCCCTTGTATCAGTTCAGGCGGGACCTCGTCCCTGCCGCCCGTAGGCTAGGCTACATGTATAATGAACGTGTATGTAGTACTGTATTTCTGAATAGTCCCTTCACTGAACATGGCATCCTAGAGGCTATACACGCAGGGTGTTACAATACACAAATACATGTCTGTGATCTTCCTCTTTGCGAGGACATGTAGTGCACTGTGCTACGGACCGGCGGATTCTGCTCGAAAAGGTGGCAGATTCTGCTCGAAAAGCAGTGAAATTGGCAGAACCATACAAACCTTATGGCGGGCAATTCCTCGAATTCTGCTCCAAAACTTACCAGAAAAAGTACCGAATTCTGCCAATTTTTCTGCCGGCAGAATCCGCCGGACCCTATGTAGTGCATTTTCTCTGGGGCAGAGTGGATAGACTATTACACAGACGTGAGGTATTTTGGTCACGGTTGTGTTGCTTGTGTTACAGTACATGTACATGAATGACACGTTCATCATGAAGGTATCATTCATGTACATGGTCTGTAACAAAGCAACGCAACAGTGACCAGATACATCACATTTAATTAAAATAAACCAAGGCTAGGGGACCCAGCGACTGAGTGCATGTTCTCAACCCTTGCTGCTCAGGCTGTCCTACAAGCGCACAAACCAACCACACGAATCACGACTCCATAGCGTGAAAGATCTTCAATGCACATGTAGTTACATGTATCTCAAAGTACCTGTAGATCCGTTCACACGTTCTTACAGTATTGCACATAACAAGGTCGTCTCCAATATATTTTGGATCCAGGCGGTGGTATAATTATAGTACGAATGGTGCTGCTCCTCAAATACTACACTCCAAATACCATTCTATCACCTGTGTGCGTCCTTGCAATACGGCCTTCATCTTGAGATCGCTTCAAACTACATCCACAACACCGTCACATGGAGCCTGCATGGACGACTTTGAGGGTGCCAGAGAGAATGTTGTCGCCGAACTCAAGGTCTGCGTTGCCAATAAAATGTGGGTAATTATCGAGCAGACGGAGGCACAAAGCATCCGTCGATTGGATGGAGCATGTGTCAAGTAAATCATAATCAGATGGTTTGCAAGAAAGATTTCCCCACTGTGAGCAGTGGTGGTCGATAGTGTTGCACCCCACTGCCATCGATTTGTTGTCTCCATCCGCATCCTTCCGTTGGTCCGATTCACATAGTAATCGCAATTATTAGTACGCACCGTATTGCTCCTAGCAGCTATGCTATGGTCCGCCAACATTAACACATCTGCGCATTAGCTGGACCGGCGGGGGCTAGATTCGCTGCGGAAATTATGTCTGAACCATCGACTCTTGCGGATCCTGGGAGACACAGTTGTAGATCATCGCATAAGATGGTGACCTGATGCGCTTTTGTTGCTGGAATTGGTTACCGCAGAATGATCACCAGCTACTGGGTCGACATGCTTGGCGTGAAGTCTCAATGTCCCATGGATTCGTTTGAGAATCTTCATCCGCAGCCGCGCTTTGGATACGATGATGTAACATTGCAGCTCACGAGAGTTTCCAAATAGAAAATTAGAAATACACAGTGGCCTAGTGCCTCATACACAAACACATATGGGCACCATGCTGTGAAGCTTGGACTCATAGTTTCGCCCATACAGCTGTCTAATGGTCGCTTCATGTGTGAAACAAAGAATCTTCTATTCTATTGCCATCATGGTATTGGGCATAAACGTTTGTGTTATTTACGAAGAGATAATACACAAGCAATCGCAATAGTCCCACTCTCACACGCACACATGCTCACCGTCAATTATGCCGTCGTGTGTCCCATTCGGGATGGACACGAGAAAAAAATAATCGCAATGAATAGAGCAAGAGGCGCACCAACAAGTACCATCGTATTATTCTGAAGTGTTTATATGAATCCTTATCATCAGAAGGATTTGAAACAGGGAATGACAGCCATACATGTAGGTGCAGTAGGCGATAGATCATTGCGAATGGTGAGAAGTTCATGGAAACAGACTAAGTTAAAATGGTTGTACAAATAGAGGCAGACTAGGGAAAGAAAAAGCAGGTGACACGTGAAATTTATATCAAGCAAAGAAAATGTTAGTCAACAACCAATTGCACCGTGAGTATGTTTGTGTTGTCTCTGTCTGCATACATGTAATTATGTTCGTATCGGGAGTGGTGTGCCTCAACTAGTGCATTTACATTAGTTTCTCACTGTCCGCGGTAATCTACCACGGTGACAACAGGAATTTACTATCGCACTCGTATTACTTTCATGTCAGATTGTCATTCTCTTTTGTCAACTTGCCTGAAATGCCGCTGATGAGAAGGATTTGAAAACGCTCGGGAAAACGATTCTGGGATAATGCCATTGTCTGTAGGGAATCCACCGATTGTTCGAACACTACCCGCCAAGGGCTAGTTATCGTTGCGCCTCTTACCCTATCCAGTGCGATAATTGTTTCCCCTACAATGTAGCTTCTTTGTATTTTATGAGATGTTATGGCCTCGGGCGGTTATACTAGAAGAGGGTGGCTGCTCCTAACGTTGGAGTCGTGTTTCCGCTGCGACCTACTCAAGACCGCTGCTACATCTGGAGCATACGAGAAGCTTGTCAAACCGTCCACTCATCAAACCTGCAAAGAATTCTTATTAAAACAGGTATGTAAAGTTATCCAATGTACAATGTATCGCTACATACATGTACATGTATGTATACGCAGTCATGTATGTGTGCCATCGCCGGTAGCTAGGGCCCGGCAGATTCTGCCGGCAGAAAAATTGGCAGAATTCGGTACTTTTCTGGTAAGTTTCAAGCATGTTTGGTATGTGTATAAAGAAGTGGAGCAGAATTCGAGGAATTGCCCGCCATACGGTTTGTATGGTTCTCCCAATTTCACTGCTTTTCGAGCAGAATCCGCCACCTTTTCGAGCAGAATCCGCCGGTCCCTACGGGCGGTAGCTCGGCTTACTTTTAAAAGCTCGTAGCTGTACTGACGAGGCCTAGATGGCCGGAACAGCTACATGTACATAATTGTAGCTGTCTACAGCATTGGGTATACATGTACTCGTACACATGTACTATTGTACATGTACATGTACATAGCTTTGAAATAGTCACGCTATTACATTGTATATAATTGCTTAGAGATTACATTGTAAAATTGCGCTGGATCACCATGCCTGCGGGTCCTTCAGGTCTGACAATTTGACACGCTGCTCTTAGGGTAAACTTCGTTTAAAAAAGGGGGTGTACCACTTCACCATTAACTTTGTAGTAAAAAAACCACTGATTGCAATGTGTGAGTGAACATCTCGGAGCAGCCCTTCCCGTATTCCTGGGTCCCTACCTACAGTGCACATGTACACATGTACATGTATCTTGTCCATGTGGTAAGTCATTATTCATGATTGTTGTGACCCGCAGCATATCCAGAATACGTCTATGCTGCTAAAAGTGCCCTGAATCGGTCCGTTAAAATTGGTCTAATGACAACAGTTCCAAAGTGTGAGCTGGAGATAGCAAAACGAGAATGGAGGGGTCCGTCCAATGAGGGTGTAAATTGTAATGTACAGTGAAACCTGTCTAAGACGACCGCTCAAGGGACCTTCAAAACGTGGTCTCTGTTACCAGGTGATCGCCTTATCCAGGAAAATGTGGTCTCTGTTACCAGGTGATCGCCTTATCCAGGGTCAATTGACTGGAAATAGCATCCCTTGGTCCTGGTTCCAGTGGTCTCCTAGGACAGGTGGTCGCCTTGTCCGATTGGTCGCCTTGGCAGGTTTTACTGTACCGGTAAGACGGATGAAAGTTGGAGGGCCAGGCATGCTACATATAGATTTGAACTGGGGTCCGCTGGGCATTACGAATCGAAAGGTCAGTTAGAATTCAATACTGCCTATATGTTGAGTTGAAACGTTTTCACACTCGATCCGCAGTGTAGAATGTACCCGACTGTGCAGTACTACAGGACCTGAATAGGACTTGTTCGGGGTACGATCATCGGCATTGAATTCGTGCACGGACAGTGGCGCTGCTGCAGTGCTAGCTGCAAGATGGTCAATCGCCTGCTCGGGCAGTTCAAGCATGATTATATTTTTTTGTTTTGTTTTTGTTTTGATGCTGCTGCTGTGTGTGCGTGGAGTCTCGGTGGCCGTGTTTACTGTTACGTGTTGGGGTGGACACCTACATCATGTACATGCTCGCTACACTGTACACTGCTCATAAACAATTGAATCACTACTCAGATCCGTCTCAATATTTGTGTACCGACTCCGTGTATTCCTGACCTGTCGAGGACATGAGATCTCGGCATGCTAGATCTACTGAGTCTGTCATGTATCGGAAAAAAGAGGCGAGCACTCCAGACTTGGGCGTGCAGCGTAGATTTCGCTTGGCAGGCTGACTTCTATAACATGCATAACGTGTCGTGGCGCCACAAAGCACATTCGGATCTGTCTCGTACTCATACCGGTAGTCATAATCTGATAGTGATACTCATAGAGAGCTAGCCTGTAGATTCTGATGACCGAGAACATCATTTTTCAAACATTTCCTCTTCAACCTCCTCAGCTCAAATAGCCAGCTTCTTCTAATGCACACACCGTGTGATTTGGTCTGCTAGGGCTAGCAGCGTAGCACACCCCTCAACAGACCAGTGCCAGAGGGTTGGTCGACATTCAGCACAAGCCCACTGCCCGGGAAAGGGCCGCACGCCTTTGGGCAGAAGGTGTGAGTTCTGTTTATGTCTGGCACTTGCAACATCAACAGAAACTACGGTGCGCGCGAACAGCATCGCGAAGGTGACCATTCCGCCAACGGAGGTCAAAAGATTGGCCGAGACTGGGATAGCTTGCCGCTGAACACTTTTGAATGGAGCGCAGCAACAGCTTTCTCTCTCGGCTGCGGGGTTCGTTCCGCAGTAAGCGCCCTGGATCCGCTACGCAGCTCCTGGGAGATGCTGACCTCGAAGGCGACGGATGCGCACAGTGTCGAGCCAGTGCGCTCATAGCGCACAGAGCTGCCTATTACGGCCATGTTGGTTGCCTAGCCTGGCTGGAGAGGGAAGAACCCGAGAAGCTTGATAGCGTTGACCGAAATGGAGCCACCCCGCTGCTGCTGGCCATTCGCCAAAATCGAATCAAGGCAGTCAGGTTAGTCGGTGTCGGAGTTGCGGCACTTTCTTGTTAGCTTTTTGTGAAAAAGCACTGAAAGGAGGTTGGGGGAGAATGTTCTCTTCATTGAGGTTTTCCACAAAGGGCCATTCAATGTCGAAATGGACTCGCCCAAGGCTTACAATTATAGCGTTGGTTGGTTGGATTTATTTAAAGTCGTACAACAAACAGGCATATCTGCCTCCTTATAATATAATGAAGACGACTGACTTCTGGCAGTAAAACAGCGTGACGTAAGCCTTGCGTCCATTGTCACAAGGTGCTTGCGAGATAGCTTCCCTCAGCCAGGTCTGGATACACAATGTGACATCATGTATATCGCAGCACGGTCACGGAGTGGTGCTGCACAAGCTCGTTGCCATTCTCCTCCTACTCTGCTCGCAGTACAATCATGTACTGCACTGATGTCTGCCTCACATCAGTTCTATCAGCGCACACACAATAATAGTTATCATACTTATGGGCAGTAGCAGCAGAAGCAGCTGCGGGTATAGCACAGTGGTCTATATTTGCAGGACCGCTGGAAGCAGTCTTTGATTGGTCCGGCTAAACCACAGCCTTTCATACAGTTTGTGCTATAGCGGATAAAAAAACCTCCTCAGCAGTGAACATGCATTGGTTGCCAACAAGTTGGTCCGATGATAACCTAAACAACCGGACCGGTTCCAACGAGCCTGATTTGTAGTCATGAACGCAACAGGAAAGCATGAAACGTAGATGTTCATCAGTTTCATTGTATGAACCCAACACAGTCACTTCTTGTAGATGAACTATGGCCTTGACTGGACCTAGATTCACACTGTCTAGTACATGATTCTCAAGTACATCATCTAAGTGAACCTCTCACATAATAAGATTATGGTAGAGGCAACGGTTTCAAATAGGACATAGGTTGCAAACCGGAACGGACTCAATATTCACTTTTTCTCTTGGTATTTTGATTAGAAGACATATGTCTCAGTGAGACTACGATGTGTTATACTGCGAGCCAAAATTTCATGGCTCTGCGACGACCAGAAGCGCCATACCAAGCAGGTGAGTTTTTGACGTGTTGCTTCGCACTGCGACTTGAGTTTTACGACTTTCGAAAAATCAACTTCTTGTCGCAGGTAAACAGCGGCTCGGCTCTCGCCAATAAAGCACTGCATACCAATCAAAACTAATGGAAGCACACACAAGGCTTATTGTTACTCTGTACTGGCCGTCGTGGAGCGATAGCAATTACCTAATGTCAGACCCAGAGTGAATTTGACGGGCACTCTAAAATCTGTCCGATTTGGAGCCACCTCTGATTTGGAGCGAAACATTGGGCAACTTGGAGGCAATGGGTCAACACAAAGGAGTGGCTCAGTTCGATTGACTCTGGCCTCGGAGCAAACTTCAACATGCCAGTTGCCTTCCACAAGCATATTTCAAGTGAACAATCAACGCTGATGATCGGTTTGGGTATATACAAATTTGGCTGTCAGGCCGTTCCGGTATCGAACCGTCGCCTCTACATGGGCATTTGCACTCACTGCAATTTTCCGAAATACACACAGAGACGTAGCTCAGGGAGCAAGAATAGAGGGGAGAGAAGGGAAAGCACAGACAAAGAAGGGCAGTTAGTGCGGATATGGGCTGCAGATAGCAGCTGTGCGGCAGAGGTGCAGCGGACTCGGCTGACCAGTGGCCTCAGCCTTCCGGAAACCTGCACGCACCCTCAGGGAGGGGGGGGGGGGATGAGAGAACATAAGGAAACTATGAAGGAAGCATCAAAGTCAATGCGCCCGAATTCCAAGCAGGTATACACTTACATTGCTGTTCCTCATACTAACAATACATGACACTGGAGACTTTCATGCACCACTCTCAGGTCACCGTAAAGCCCACAACATTCCGACTTGTAAACCATTATTGTTATCCCTCCATTAGTTGTGCGATAAGAACTGAGATGGTGAGCCAAGGAAAACATTGTAACATTGAGATCCTAGTCAGTTTTGTGCTCGATTGTGCACGTCTGACTGTTCAACATCTGGTTTACAGTCCATTCAGAAAAAGATGATATCCTAGTTTTTGGCCATAAACGGGTCAAATTTTGAGTTTTCGTCTCAATGTTTTTGGCAATCCCCCAATGAAATGCTCTTCCAATTGTGTTTTTGAAGTCTATTTCACCAAAGAGCAAGCCATGACAAGAATAGGATTTCGGCCAGGTTTTGCCCCCAACGCACTGAATTGGGAAAATCTTCCAGGCCGTTCACACCACTTGCATAACAGTACATTTGCGGTTCGAACCCCACTTGAGGTACCTTTTTTGGACCCTTTTTCAAGTTTCGAATCTTGCGGCACTGCACAGTGTGCCACAAAATCGCCAAATACGGGAGCTCTCCAGAGCCAGCGCTCTTTTCTGAATGGACTATAGTTGGTGGACTCGATTGCATAACTTGTGCCTACATTTCTCCATGTTACAATTTTCTCCATTAGTTGGTCAGCATTGAGTGTGACATTTTAAAATTCTTGAAGGGTTTTGTATTGTTTGGAATAGCAAGACATTTTGATAACTTCTGTAACAAGTTTTTTGTTGTGAAATTATGGAATGTAGGTTGTAGAGCACATGACTGATTCACAACACCTACCGTATTCTCCGGATTATAAGCCGCACTTTCAACACTCAAAATTCACCCAGTACAAGAATGGGGGTGCGGCTTATACTCCGATGATCAAAATAACAGTCATAAAATAGGGTAGATGTCTGTATTTCGCGGCAAAAAAACGGGGTGGGGGCACGGCTTATACTCCAGTGCGGCTTACACTCCAGTGCGGCTTACACTCCAGTGCGGCTTATACTCCAGTGTGGCTTATACTCCAGTGCGGCTTATACACCGGAAAATACTGTACTCTTGTGCCTGCAGCTGGATCCTCACACACTGTCCCAACCAGAGCCGACAGAAGGCGACTGGCGGGGAGACACCTGTGCTGGTGGGAGCAGCTCAAGGACGTCTAAAGTGCCTGGAAATGCTCCTCGAGTTCGAGCCCAAGGTCAAGGCATCGCTGTCCGAGGACATCGATAGCGGCGGCCTATCGGCCATTCATCTGGCAGCGCTGAAGAATCGCACCGACACGGTCGCGTGGATACTGAAAGTCCTCGGCAAGACGTGTGTCATACACCCAAGCCGTTCGGGCATCACGGCGGTGCACATTGCTGCAGCCTCTGGTAAGGAAACTGCCAGGTAAACTATTCTCCCAAAGGAATTTGTCACGCCCGTACTGGACATGTGCAATTGTATGTTGTGAACTCGCTTGTAGCATGGGCTTTTGTGGATAATGCTCGAGAAATTGGTAGATTCTGCTTCAAAAGCAAAAAAAATGGCAGAACCATATAGAGCTGATGATGAGCACTCCTTCGAATGTTGCTCTTCTTCTTTATCCACATACCAAATATGCATAAGCCTACTAGCAAAAGTACAAAATTCTGCCGGTGTTCTCCCAGCATTTTCTGCCAAGCGGTGTTGTAGTGTGTCATACTCTAACTGAGCCATGTCGTGTGTTGTCCTTGTTCCATGTCACCTCCATACCCTTAGGCCATCTGAATATCTTGGAGCTGCTCACAAAGAAGGACAAGCGAGGCGTGTTTTATGTGGACTCTGCAGGTAATGATGCACGGTGCTCACTGTCATGTTCAGATCGTCATTCTGCACATCGTCCTGCGTCTGGTTGTCTCATTGGGAATTGTTGCATAAACAGGATTGTAATTGGTGGTGATGGCAGCCACTTCTACGGCTTATGCTGTTTGTCATGCTTTGATGGCTGATTGTGATGTTTGCTATGCTGTGGTGGATGATTGTGTTGTTTGCTATGCTGTGGTGGATGATGGTGTTGTTTGCTATGCTGTGGTGGATGATTGTGTTGTTTGCTATGCTATGGTGGATGATTGTATTGTTTGCTATGCTGTGGTGGATGATTGTGTTGCAAGTTTGCTATGCTGTGGTGGATGATTGTGTTGTTTGCTATGCTGTGGTGGATGATTGTGTTGTTTGCTATGCTGTGGCGGATGATTGTGTTGTTTGCTATGCTGTGGTGGATGATTATGTTGTTTGCTATGCTGTGGTGGATGATTGTGTTGTTTGCTATGCTGTGGTGGATGATTGTGTTGTTTGCTATGCTGTGGTGGATGATTGTGTTGTTTGCTATGTTGTGGTGGATGATTGTGTTGTTTGCTACGCTGTGGTGGATGATTGTGTTGTTTGCTATGCTGTGGTGGATGATTGTGTTGCAAGTTTGCTATGCTGTGGTGGATGATTGTGTTGTTTGCTATGCTGTGGTGGATGATTGTGTTGTTTGCTATGCTGTGGTGGATGATTGTGTTGTTTGCTATGCTGTGGTGGATGATTGTGTTGTTTGCTACGCTGTGGTGGATGATTGTGTTGTTTGCTATGCTGTGGTGGATGATTGTGTTGTTTGCTATGCTGTGGTGGATGATTGTGTTGCAAGTTTGCTATGCTGTGGTGGATGATTGTGTTGTTTGCTATGCTGTGGTGGATGATTGTGTTGTTTGCTATGCTGTGGTGGATGATTGTGTTGTTTGCTACGCTGTGGTGGATGATTGTGTTGTTTGCTATGTTGTGGTGGATGGTTGTGTTGTTTGCTATGCTGTGGTGGATGATTGTGTTGTTTGCTATGCTGTGGTGGATGATTGTGTTGTTTGCTGTGCTGTGGTGGATGATTGTGTTGTTTGCTATGCTGTGGTGGGTGATTGTGTTGTTTGCTATGCTGTGGTGGATGATTGTGTTGTTTGCTATGCTGTGGTGGATGATTGTGTTGTTTGCTACGCTGTGGTGGATGATTGTGTTGTTTGCTATGTTGTGGTGGATGGTTGTGTTGTTTGCTATGCTGTGGTGGATGATTGTGTTGTTTGCTATGCTGTGGTGGATGATTGTGTTGTTTGCTATGCTGTGGTGGATGATTGTGTTGTTTGCTATGCTGTGGTGGGTGATTGTGTTGTTTGCTATGCTGTGGTGGATGATTGTGTTGTTTGCTATGCTGTGGTGGGTGATTGTGTTGTTTGCTATGCTGTGGTGGGTGATTGTGTTGTTTGCTATGCTGTGGTGGATGATTGTGTTGTTTGCTATGCTGTGGTGGATGATTGTGTTGTTTGCTATGCTGTGGTGGGTGATTGTGTTGTTTGCTATGCTGTGGTGGATGATTGTGTTGTTTGCTATGCTGTGGTGGATGATTGTGTTGTTTGCTACGCTGTGGTGGATGATTGTGTTGTTTGCTATGTTGTGGTGGATGGTTGTGTTGTTTGCTATGCTGTGGTGGATGATTGTGTTGTTTGCTATGCTGTGGTGGATGATTGTGTTGTTTGCTATGCTGTGGTGGATGATTGTGTTGTTTGCTATGCTGTGGTGGGTGATTGTGTTGTTTGCTATGCTGTGGTGGATGATTGTGTTGTTTGCTATGCTGTGGTGGGTGATTGTGTTGTTTGCTATGCTGTGGTGGGTGATTGTGTTGTTTGCTATGCTGTGGTGGATGATTGTGTTGTTTGCTATGCTGTGGTGGGTGATTGTGTTGTTTGCTATGCTGTGATGGATGATTGTGTTGACCTACAGGTACAACACCTGTGTACTTTGCCGCTCAAGAAGGCAGGCTGGAGTGCATGCGGCACATGGTGGAGAACGTGAAGGCGGATGCGATTTCGCGCTGTGACGATGGCATGACGACGGTGCACTGCGCTGCACAGGGGGGACACCTGCATGTTGTACAGGTACAGCCAGCTCCACTGATAACAAACTCGCATAATTGTAACAAATTTTGGTGATACAGCGAACCGTTGTCCTGAATTTGTCCATGATGTCCCAGTTTGAACCCACAGTGTAGGTGCGAACTTGGACTATAAAGAACTATTTCTCCTGCACAACGGTGTTCGTTAGATTAGGAGTCGACAGTAGTTTATGTTATTACCTTTTCTCCAATCCTCCACTGGCTTTCCAGCGCACTGACTCTCTTGGTGGAGTATGCACTCACAGCTCCGAACGAAATTTATTCTCATTTTACTCCACCATGATGGATTTTCATCATCCTGGGCTCGTTGGAAAGATCAGGACCAAACGAATCCATCCTGGCAGCTCTCAGCTCCCTAGACACATCAGGGCCACTTCCACGTCCTCTCCAAACTACTCCACCGTGCCTCGGAACGGCACAACAACTCAATTTTACATTCTTGTTCGGATTGTTGCCCAAATTCAACCGATTTTCACGATTAAACCTGCGCTGCAAAGCTGAGATCCAAGCGCTTCATTTGATGTCACGCATGCGCCGTGCCAAAGGGAAATCCCCTGGCACGCTCCTCAACAAAAAGAAATCATGAACAAAATATTCGCGTTCCCTCTGGCCCGTGATTTCCGTGTTCATCTAATTCCCGCTCGATGAATTCTTATCCTATCCCCGGAAAGATGAGGTCAAGGCCTTTCCAACGGTGTATTGATTGTCGCGATGCGTTCATGTTTGACGAAGTAACGAAAGTTTGTACACTGGTCTATGCACTGGGATATATCGCGCGGATTTTTTTGCGAGTTAACTCTTACGTAGTGGATCAGGTCATGCATAAAGCGCGAGTTAACTTGTACTCAGCACGCAGAGGGTTAACGTGAGGAATGTGTGCACTGACTGGTTTGTGGTCTATTTCGGGAAAGAATGTGCCTTGGTTTTTCAATCAAATTTTGAAAAAAATCGGAAAAAGGTTGGGAAGACGTTTTTGGCCAGGTTTCACGGAATTCCAGGCAGTGCTCACTTCACCCAGTGTACATAATGAAGAATCCAAACTCTCTTTGGACTATAAATTTGATAGTCAGGCTTCGAGTCGTAATTGTCAAAAGGCTTATGCAGCTTGGATTCACATTACGTAGTCTGAAAGGACTATTGAGGAGCCAATCGTGTAAAATTTAGTTGAAACTTCAAGCATGTGATTTTTTGGCACTGAAGATACATTCCCTCTCTAATCCGGCACCTTTTGCTACGGCGTTTTCTGCTGGATTAACGAGGGTGCTGGATTAAGAAATCCTGCCCTCTGACCCGGCCCTACCAAATTGCATCCATGTATCATATGTTCTCAATTGTTCTCCGGGAATATACACAGTGATAAAGTGATAAAGTAAAACAGAGAACATGTTCACATGTACTCTTGCACACACACGCACACACACACACACACCTGAAAATTGGCAGGACACTACTCCTTGCTAAAATAAGAAAGTATGGTTGACTGCCGTTGTCTCCTGGACAAGCCTAGCCTGGCCTGGCAAGGAGTGCACCTGTACGGTACGCGATTTACGACTGCCGGATTATGAAATCAAACTACGTGCAGTTTGAGCGATTCGTTTCAAAAAGTCACTGCCGGAGGCGGAATTCAAGTGCCGGATCAAGATGTAGGAATTGAACGAAAAAAATCGGTTTCGTCAGAAAGTGCGCCGGTTGGCAAGGGTTCCGGATAAACAAGTGCCGGATTAGAGAGGGACGACTGTAATGGCAAATTCGAAATCTCTCTACTCACTCTGTTCCTGCTTGAAGTAAATGTTTGCGACCGTTCGTTAACTTTATACAGAGAGAAAAACAGCTGAAGCGTTCATACGTAATTTTGGATGTCATCTGTTGCTTCTTCATAGGCTTCCTGTGGTGTTGTTACTTTGCGTGCACAGTGGTTGGTGACAACTCAGGGAGAGGAGGTCGTGCTGGCGAAAACACAGGACGGTGCAACACCGGTTCACTTCGCTGCTGGTAGGTCTCCATAAGCATCATGCTTTGTACACTTCATATATTGTACACACACACACACACACACACACACACACACACTACTACTACTACTACTAGCAGCATGACTGCCCAGAGGGGCAAGTGTCACCCCTATGGAAAGGGGACCAGAAAACGGGACACGGATCACAAGCAGGACCGCGAATGTCTGGCTAGGTCCTGCTGCCGGCGGAAATTGTGTTTACAACGTGGGCAGCTGAGGGGCAGAGCTGCTCTCTCAGCAGCAGATGGTCTCGCACCACGATTGCAGTTGTGACGCTTGAACCCGGCCGCAGAACGGAAGCATCGCTGACATGTTGGGCAGTGCTGCTGGCAACAAGCTGAAAGTGGCACAGACAGACTGACTGTTGGTGTAGGAGAACTCGTGACAGGCTGGCATCGATGAACAGAGTAGCCACCCTTGCTGCGGAACCACCTCTGGCAGTTCTGGCATTGCACTGACCCACGCTGGAGCTGGATGGGAAGCCGTCTCTGAGTGGTGCACTTGTGCCGCGTCCTATCCGAGACCCGTGAGAAGTTCCGGTCACACACTGCGCAATGCACAGACTTGGGCATGGTGGAGCTCGACTGAGGGGCAACCCGTACTTCCCTCCACTGTTGGCGGTCCTGAGCAAGGATGAACCACTGAGATGGCTGTTGCAGTGCAACCTTGAGGTCGGTCATCACCGTGTCTTTCCACCGTCGCCGGGGACCACAAAACGGCCGAGGCACAGGCAGCCACCCAAAGAGGAGTTGGAGGGGGGTGCGATCCTCATCCATACGCGCAACGTGCCCAGTCCATTCCAGACGCCGATTGCGGAGGCGTGTAGACATCAGTACTGGGTCTCCCCAACGGTTCCGCAGGTCTGTGGATGACAGCCGCTCGGACCACTGACGAGGCTTGGTGATGCTGAGGACAGTCCGGATGCATTGATGGTGGAATTTATCCAAACTTCTGATATCCCGTTGGAGTGGGGTCCAACACTCTCCGCCATACAGTAATATTGAGGAAACGCAGGCCATGTACAGGTGGCGTTTACTAGAGAGGGACAGAGATCTGTCAGTGAATACCTTCTGGAGGGCTCCGAAGGCCTTTGAGGCTTCGGCAATACGGCGCTTGATGTCGGATGAAGAACGACTGTCAGGGGTCACTATGGATCCTAGGTAGGTGAACTTCGGCACGGCTTCGATAGTGCCAAGGGGGAGAACGATGTCAGCCGAGTCTTCAGCAGAGACCCCATGGCCCGCCGTCATGATCTTCGTCTTGGCGATGCTCACAGTTAGTCCAAATTCTCGGGCAACACTACAGAAGAGCTCCACACCAAACTCAGCATCACTACGGCATTCAGACACGAGAACGGCATCATCAGCATACTCCAGGTCACTAACAGACAGTGACTCGCCAGCCCTGCGCGATGATGAGCGGGGGTAGAGTTGGCCATCGATGGAAAACTGGATGCTGACAGAGTGACTACGACCTGCATCCTTTAGCCGGGCACGCCATGTCTCAACAACCGCCCCGAAGTACAGGTTAAAGAGAACGGGTGCCATGACACATCCTTGTCGGAGACCATTAACCACAGGGAACTCATCAGAGGTGGAGTTGCCAACTCGGACCGAGGCAGAGGTAGAGGTGTGGAAAGCCTTAATCAGGGCCACTAGCTGTTGCGGGACCCCAAGTCGGCCCAAGGCCACCCAGAGAGCAGCGCGTGGTACAGAATCGTACGCCTTTTTCAAATCCACAAACACACAGAAGAGCTGCTGACGATGTTCGTATGCTTTCTCGATTAGCTGGCGGAGCGAGAAGATGGCATCAACACAGCCCCTGCCTGGCCGAAAGCCGCTCTGGGACTCTGGGAGTTCCGACTCAGCCAACAACTGCAGGCGATCTTGAATCATGCGGCCACACACCTTGCCAACAACATCAAGAAGGGCAATACCCCGCCAATTATCACATTTGGACAGGTCGCCCTTCTTGGGAACAGGAACCAACTCGGCATCGCGCCATTCCTGCGGAACAGTGGCCGTCGTCCAAGCAAGTTGGACGAGATCCAGCAATGCGTCCAGGGAATCATGGCCACCTGCTTTCACAAGCTCGGGGACTATACGCGAGGAACCTCCAGCTTTGCCATTTGCAAGGTGTCTGATGGCGACGACAAGGTCTTCCATTGTTGGTGTGACTGCCAGAGACTCGTCAGGCTCACGTTGAGGGATGTTAGCAACGGTGGAGGCATTGAAGGTACTGGGGACATTGAGCAAGTTCGAGAAGTGAGTGGACCAGCAGTCTTCCTGCTCCTCCAAAGACGTGCAAACTATGCCCTCAGCATTACGGACCGGATGGATGGTGACGGATCGGAGTCCCGAATAGCACCGTTGAATGTCTCGGATGGCGGACCAAACGTGCTTACCACTAAATTTGCCACGCTCCACAGTGCTAGCTCTCTGCTCCAACCATGCACTCTTCGCTGCACCAACTGCGGTACGACATCTACCTCGGACATCGAGGAAGCGGCGGTGGTCCGCTGGCAGCTCTGATTGACGCCACTGTTGATGGAGGCGTGTGCGCTCAGCAAAAAGAGGTTGGAGGATGTCTGCTGCTGCTAGGAACCAGTCTGGTTGTAGTCGAACGGGTTTGCCCAGGTGTGCCTCAGCGCTGGAGGTCAAGGCAGATTTGTATGCCGACCACTTGGCATCAACGGTATCAGCTGGCCCAGACGATTGCAGATGGTGTTGCACACCGGAGGCGAATTGGAGCCGAGTAGCCTGCACGGCATTAGATTGTTCGTCGGTCATACCAGGGCGGGTCATGAGAGCTTGGATATTAAAGCGTGAACGCCGTGCTACTCCGGTGCGAAAGTTGACGGTGTACGACAGACAGAACGATAAGCATACAAGATTGTGGTCGGTACTACACTCCGCACTAGGGATAACGCGGCAGTCTGTGCAGGCTAGCAGATCTTGCCGCCTGACAATGGCATAATCGATACAGTGCCACTTCTTCGACCGTGGGTGCTGCCATGTATACTTGTGGATACGCTTCTTGGCAAACCAGGTGTTGCACACAGTGAGGCTGTTGCATGTCAAGAACTGGAGCAGTTCCAGTCCAGCGTGGTTCGTTTCCCCTATCCCATTATCTCCACAAGTCCCATACCATGGATCAGCACTCTGGATGAGACCAACCCGTGCATTGAAGTCGCCAAGGATAATCAATTGTTGACTTGGTGGCACTGAGTTTACGCTCGCTTGCAGGGATGCAAAAAATTCATTTTTGGACTCCCTACTTGATCTGAAAGTTGGAGCGTAGCATGCAATCACATTGATCCAGGTGTTTTTGTTTCCGTGGTGGACGAACTTCAACTTGCATTGTGCAATTCTCGACGATACCGCCGTCCATTGGTTTCCTCCTGCCGAGAAAGCGTTTCGTGCACGGCCTCTCAGGACGATGCAGACTCCTTCTCCGCGTTTGAAATTTTCAGATGGTACGGGACGTCCAGACGACAACACGATCGAATCCGCGACATTGTAGATCTCAGCTCCAAACCACTTCGATTCCTGAAGTCCAGCCACTTCGATGTCGAGTCTCTTCAGCTCATTTATGACGGTATTGATCTTCCTGTCCTCGACTACTCTATGTCCAGACGCAGCAGTTTCGATTGGGCCGTCAGCATTCACGAGAGTTCTGACATTCCACGAAGCGAATTTTAGTAGAGAATCGCTTCTGCTGGGGGGATCCTGCCTGCGACAACGTCGCCCGTTTTCTGGTTGCTGAAAAGCTGAGGATGGTAGAGGCGACATCCGAGGGGTAGCTAGCCCACTGCGGATGGAGGACGGAGAGCGGCGCGCCAGTGACAATATCAAAATTTAAATTGTCCTGGAAGACGCGCCGTGAGCCTCTCCGACCTGTATTTCTATCTGGACGCCAGGGGCTCTCCTAGCAAGGCTAGGAGAGCCCTGGGGGGGCGAGAACTAACTTAGGGAGAGCTCCAAGTAAGTAGAAGACGGGAACTAGACAGAGCCTCAAAAGATCAAACACACACACACACACACTACTACTACTACACACACACACACACACACACACATACATACGAGTGTACGCGCATGCACATACAGACACACACATACACACACACACATACGAGTGCGCGCGCATGCACATACACACACACAAATACACACACACACACACACACGAGTGCGCGCATGCACATACACACACACACACACACACACACACGCATGCACGCACGCACGCACGCACACACACACACACACAATTTGGTAGGAATATCACATACACCTATTACTGATTTGTCCAGGTCCATGGTGTAATGACTGGCTGTGCTCTGTTTGTACGTGCGTCAATGTGTTATCTTCGGGTACAGCTATGGGCCATGCTGAGCTACTCGAGTGGATCCTCTCGTTGCCCAAAATTGGCGAGCAGGCGCGGAACACAACCGACTTGGACGGCGGAACACCAGCTCATGATGCAGCAGATAACGGGTGAGTTTCAACTGAACGCCCGGGAGAAACTTGAAGCAAAAATGTACACAGTACTATTCTTTGCTCTGCTCTGCATCTCTTGACCGCAAAATGTGTTGTACTTGCGCACACGCACATGGCGTTCCTACGGGCACTGAAAACTCAGTCTAATTGAGTCTCAAGCCAACTGTGATTGTTTTTTTTTGCACGCATGGCATTTAGATTTTCGGTACTGAGCCCCCGTCTTGGTCCAAGGAGGTTGCACTGCACCTGTTGTCGGTTTTTCCCAATCAAAGTTTCTCGCCCAGTGCGTCGCATTGGTGGCATCACTGTGTGTAACACTGGAACAGCAACAGCACTGTGGCTTCAGCGTGAAATGATCAATTTTGGAGCCCACATGATGGGGGAACAGGGTGCACATAGAGTAAGGCCTCCTGGGACCACAGTCATGCATTATTACAGTATTATCACATGGCACGTGATTGTTGCCCGTACTCCAGCGAATCAGCACCTTTCGCGCCGCGGGCAATAATATGCGATATTGCCCGCAAAAAAATAGTTTATTTGCCCGCAAAAAAATAGTTTATTTCAGTGATCGCGTGACTAGACTGTACTACGAGTCTACGACGACTCTGTAGACTGTACGACTCTACGACGTGTCGCAGTGTATCATTGAGACGAAGATGGAATTGTTTTTGGAGATGGACGTCCCGGCAATGGACATGGCCTCGGACGTCTGCCGTGTGGTGCTTGCAGGGATCATTTGTTCAGTCATGTTGGCAGCCTGACCGTCGGTAAGCTTGTGGATAAGATTCATTTCTGCTCGATGTGCACATGTGGTACTGTGATCACAAACAATTATTTGAAATAACACAAATAAATTCAACTCAGCATCGTGCGTTTTCAGATCCTCGAAAAGTCACTGCCTGTGTGTGGTCTTCATGTGCCACGCATAACTCTTACCAGGGTCATCTGTCCTCTGCCTTCACCTTTGCTTGAACAACAAACACAACAATTCAGGAATGTTTTGCAATGAAAAATACAGCTATCTGGAGCTGATAAAAAGAAGAAAAATTGTCCTCAGAATTACACACCAGGGAGTCGTCAAATACTTGCAGTACTGTATTTGACACCTTCCTGATACACATGTAAACATGAAGAAACTCTTGAGTGGTAGCACTCTTTTCAACTGAAATTATGATTCTGCTGTGTTTTATTGTGGTTGCCATGTCTATTGCCATGACGATGCCGTGCCGGCACTTTTTTCTGTCTCCGTCTTTCAGTACTGTATACTCTCTGATGGCCTGTAGCAGACTTTTTGTTAGGGTGTAGGAGAAATATCTTCATTTTTCCTGTTTTGATAATGATAGCACATCAATATACATTGTGGTCATAATGTGTTGGCATTTGGGATAGTTTCAACAGCAGCCCAATGGTCTGCTCTGTGGGCCATGTGATAAATTTGTTATCGCATGGTTGCTGCGGGCCTTATGGCATATTATTGCCCCTCGAGGTTAGCCCTCGGGCCTACGGCCCTCGGGCTAACCTCTCGGGGCAATAATATGCCATAAGGCCCTTGCAACCATGCGATAACATATACTTAGCCACATAGGACTGTCCTAAAGGAGCGAGTGGCCTCTGTGTACCAAGCACCCGTGAGCTCTTCAGTCGCACTGCGCATAGTGATCATACTCCTTCATGGCATGAGCTGATGAACTACAGGCATTCACACAGCATACCACATTGTCCTGTGTGAAAGCCTACCTCGTACTTGAGAAGTATTACCAACCTGTTTTGAGTACAAGCAGAGTCTCAAGACGTACTATCTTTATCACAGTCCTAATCCAGTGGCTTGTGTTGACTGACATTTTACAGTACTGTAAATACTTGGAGCATTTCGAGCACTCTTGGCGCGGTTTGCAGCTCTTTATAAAAATGCTTTGCTTCACGGAAACGTATTTCATTGCGGAGAGCTGCGCTTCGGCCCTCTGAGCTGTGCCGAGGAGCTCTAACAGAGCGAAACAGTTCCTGTCCACAGATTTGAGTACTGTAAATATACAAAATTTCGACGCAGCAAAATTTCAGCATTTCACGATTTTCGACGTTTGGGAAGCGATTTATTTTCGGCACGGGGTTAATACATCACCAAACCTGATGTTAGACATTTCATCAGCGTTTTAATTTCGGCTTTGTGGGTCGGTGCCGAATACTAGTATAGCCAAATTTTTTTTTTAAACTGCCAAAATGTTGTGTGAATTAAAAAAAAAGTAACCATGCCTGATTTGAATAGAAGACTTACCCTCACACTGGCTTTTACAGGAATACATGCTGTCGTTATACGCAATACATCAGAGTGTGAAAAGCTGAACACTGAAGGTCGGAAAGACTTGAACCTTGGCAGCAAAGTACATTTCAGTGTGCAGAGTCCACATGAGCGCGTTGAAAAGATCATACCACAGTTTTGAAGTGTCACATTTGTCAGTAATGCAGAGTAACTTTAAAGGCCGGGTCGGCGCGGCAGTAGTATGCATCTTAGATTGACAGATATCATGTTGTGTGTACTCCTCCTATGTTGCCTGTACGTGCAGTCAGCTACAGTGTCTGGTCATACTGAAGGCACACGGAGCTGATATGTCAGCAACAGATAATGTGAGTGAATGCCTTGAATTATCAAGCGCAATACCCCAGGCATGACCGAAAGCATAGCCAGCAATCGCATGTCATCACGTACATTGAAAATCAACATAATTTTTCGAATCGACCTTTTTTTCAGGATCACTTTTCAACGAGGACGAAGCAAAGTCGGCCGAACGAAGCCTAGAGGAAGAAAATCACCCTCTCCACTTCACCATCACGATACTGACATAGATACGAGATGAAACAACTAAAAAATCCACAAGAAAATTGTACGACCATCATCGCGCTGACTTTGGTCTGACTTTGGTCTGAGAATTTCTATCACGATCAAAAATGTACGAGGAGCACTCAAAAATAAGCAACAGACGTACCTCTATCGCTCTCTACTCCTTTTTCAAGGCACAAAAGTCGACTCTCCACTTTCAAACCAGGAACCAGACATACCAGTGGTCCTTTTCAGCTGCTCCACGAGCGCAGAGCAGCATCCATTCCAGAAAAAGAGCTAAAATACGAGTGAGACTGCATGCCTGAGTACATGAGTACATGTATGAGTACATGCAGAAAATAGTCAATTTCAGCGTTTCTGCTCCAAACAGCAACTAGCTTCGACTAGAAACAAAGATTACACCAAAGGATCAAACAACAACCATTTTCTGCAGTTTTTTTGCAGATGGCTTCCTTGTGCTTGGCCCAGCACGCCAAAAATCACACCTCGGAGGAGTACAAAAATTACAACTCTCAGATGTCCTCAATTGCTGGCCATGATAGAGATCTAGTTTAATATTCTGCCTTGCTACTGCTCTTTGACCCCTCCATACTGACACATGTTACCATGAGAGTCATACAATGTCACCCCCCCCCCTTCACTCTTGTAATAATCAATACGACTGTCCTGAGGTGACATCTCAGTGTGAAGTGTGCTGTTGTTCCTTGCTGTGTGCATTGTGGACATTCTTAGACATGTTTACTTGTTTGCTTGTCTGTACTAACTGTGCGCTAACGTGAAAATTGTCTGTATTCACGAATGATCATTACTTCATAGCATGAAGTTATTACGCGCCAATTACGGTTACTGCCCGCGCGCGCCCATGATCATTGCAATGTTAGCTTGCATACGTGACGTGTGGTTTGCTACTTGCAGTTGCAGCATTAAGAGAGACTAGTTTCTTGGTGGTTCGACTGACGTGTGGTTTGCCGGTTGCCGGTTTTTCTCTTACTCTTCGTACTACTGGGCTATTTTCCCATTTGACTTTGCAGAGTAAAATATAAATAAAAAGGAGAAGGACAAAATGGTATAAATTTACGACTAACTGCCAGCCAACGTAAGTAGTTAGTCGTAACTAGTACCAATTTGTCATTCTCCTTATTATCCATGATTACATTGGTTCATAATATAATCAAAACAATAAGATTTTGACGCCAAACGATTTCAAATAATAGTGATTTAATAGCATTGCTCATGTTCTATTTCCCAATGTATCTATCTACACAGGATGGATTCACTGCCGTCGACCTAGCCGTCAACAGTACCGATAGCAAGTGTCGCGAGTGGGCCGCCGATATGCTACGACAGGCCTCCTGGCAGAATCGTGCGTTCCGCGATGACGAAGCCGAAGAGATTCACGCCTCGGCCGCCGCTGCAGCAGCGTCGGCCACCTCGTTCACTACAAACGATGGCTCCCCGGCACTGCCACCCAGAGAGGACATGCCGGGCCTGACACAGGATGACCGTGCCAAGTCGTCATCGCGTGAAATCAACATAGATGAAGCCGTGTCTGAGGCAGCCAAAAAAGACGCATTACAGAGAGCAGGCACATTACCAAACCCACAGGTAAACTTCAAAAGTATAATTTATGGATGATTTACGATATTTGAAAAACTAATTAGATTGAAAATCAAAGGCAGTACGAAATAGCTGGATTGAATGTGGGTTTTTCATGATATTTTGGTACAATTATGTTTTTACTTGAAGATAGTTCTATTTTGTTCTGAGCATTATCTCATGGTATTTCTCGTTATTCTCTTCCCTGTCCCCCTCCACACTCATATACGCACACTTCTTCCTTCCTCTGGTTCTGTGTGTCTCTGTCTCTATCTTCATCTCTGGCACTGTGTCTTTGTCTGTCTGTCTGTCTCTCTCTCCGTCTATGATCTGTCTGTCTCTTTTCTCTCTTTCTTTCTGTGTCTCTTTCTCTCTTTCTCTCTTTCGTGCTTTCTTTCTCTCTCTCCCTCTTTCTCTCTCTCTGTGTCTGTTTTCTCTGTCTTACTCTGTCTCTGTCTGTTTCTCTCTCAGACACACACTAACGTTATCTGCCTCTCCGTCTGTTTATCTGTCTGCCTGTCTATCTGTCAGCCTGTCTTTCTCTGTGTCTCTTTCTCTCTGCCTCTCTTGTTATACCTTGGGCCTTGTTACTATGACTGATACTAGTAGCTGTGACTGGACAAATCCAACAAACATCTTCATCAGAATGTTCCTAGCTAACTGTAGTCAATGAAGAACTACCCTACCAGTGTTGGCCCATAAATGATTCCAATGACATGTGAACTGATTTGTTATTTATCGTTCCTCTCTCTCCCCCCCCCCCCCCCCCGCTCTCTCTTTCTCTCTTCCTCCCTCCCCTCTCTCTCTCTCCCTCCCTCTCTCTCTCTCTCTCACTCTCTCTCTCTCTCTCTCTCTCTCTCTCTCTCTCTCCCTCCTCCTCTCTCTCTCTCTCTCTTTCTCTCTCTCTCTCTCTCTCTCTCTCTCTCTCTCCCTCCTCCTCTCTCTCTCTCTCTCACTCTCTCACTCTCTCTCTCTCTCTCTCTCTCTCTCTCTCTCTCTCTCTTTCCTACAGAGAACTCGTATGCCTCCCAGTCCACGTCCGGGGAAATCGACAGACAAGGCCGGTCACACGGATACCCCGTACGCTGTTCCCATGCGCTTGCTCAGCAAAATTCGTAGCAACACCGTGGGTCACAGGCCGGACAAGAAGCAAGGCAAAGACATGGACCACAGCGAACTCAGAATGATGATGTCAAGCGGCCATGAGGAATTTGGCGACGAAGAAACTTCATTGATAAACCGAGGGGCAATTGAAGACACAGACGGAGGGAGTCCTTGTGTTGCCGCTGCCAATGACTCTCCGGACGTTCCACCCAAAACTGTCGACTCGATGGTACTGCTAACGATTGAGGATAGTGATGGGGAAACGAAGAGCATTCATGATTCTGACAACGCGGAGCAGACCGGTGGCGGACCGACGCAAGAAGATGAAGTTTCTGACAGTGCGGATGCAAGAGCCCGTTCTGCTACTCTTCCCGCACGGTTCAATCGTCTCAGCACAGCATCAGACAAAGCTGCTGGTAGCGACAGGGAGTCACCGCTGCCCATCCGCGGCAGAGCTCTGTTCATTGAGCCAAGCCCAAGCTCCCGGATACGCAAGCCCTCGCCCTCACCGTTGCCAGACGCGCGTGCTTCGCCTCTCATGCAACGAATTCAGATGGCGAAACCCACGGATGCAGGACGAAAGCTATTCTCGTCCTCAGACAGCTCTGATGATGATGATGATAAAAGTGTTCAAGATGATATTCCAGCAAGTCAGGAAGAAGTCAAAGGTAAGCGTTTAGCAAACCAGCAAATCAGAAAAGATTTTGTATGCGAAACATGTCTTCTGTTTTCATGAAGGCCCGTTCGCGTGCATATTATCTTTGTCTGTGTAAAGTGCTCACTAACGGTATACCTTCTTTGCAAAAATGTGGGTTTAATACAGATTTCGTACGAAGCCTCGGCATTTGAAAAATACAAAATATTCCTGATTTGCAGCATTTTATTCAGCTGAATATTGCGAACTGTGAAGCACTCGCTCGAACCGCCGCAGGCACAAGCTTGCTAGACTATTTGCTATGATCGATTACATTTTCACCAAGCCTTCCAGTATTGGCCATCACCTGTGTGATACCACAGCCACCGAATGATCCTCAGTACAAAAGTCACCGAATGATTCCCAGTACAAAATTCACCGAATGATTCCCAGTACCAAAGTCACCGACTGATCCCCCGCACATATAAACTTTCCTACAAGTAATCCACTGCCAACCTCCCGTGGTATTTCACATTCTAGGTTTCTTATTTTACTGGAGGTGGCAGAAAAGATTTTAAACCGAAACACAGGCTTTCTTTGCAGAAATCTGATTCAAAATACTTATTCCGTGTGCTTTCGGGTTTTCTGTAGGTATTTTTTCCAAGGCCACGCAAGCTACCAAGCTCCTGGTAAGCATGCCCATGGTCTATAGCTGTTGCAGTCAGACCTCGCTTATCCGGTCCTCTTTTATCCGGATCCCCCGCCACCCGGAAGAAAATCGTTGGTTACCGATTTACAGCATATGCCATGCATACATACAGTATGTGTGTTCGATTATCCGGTTCCCTCGCCTATCCGGATATTTTTGTGGAAAATGGATGTGTGCGGTTATGCGATGTCTGCCTGTAGTATCTATCAGGCACTAAGTGCAGAGGTTATTGTGCATTTTGTCAGGTAACTGTACTTGGCAATGTGCAGGTTCTGTGAAGGGGCATCAGAATTATGTACTGAAAGATGCATACAATGCTGTGGCAATGTTCATGCACCTGAGCGGGCGAGTTGTGTATGTGTGTGTGTGTGTGTGTGTGTGTGTGTGTGTGTGTGTGTGTGTGTGTGTGAGAGAGAGAGAGAGAGAGAGAGAGAGAGAGAGAGAGAGAGAGAGAGAGAAGGAGAGGGAGAGGGAGAGCAGAGGCGTCATACACGGTACGGTCACTGCGGTATTGACCGTACCACTATTTGCCCCAGGTTCCCTGTGAATCAATAAAACACACTGATCTGGGCTCTAATTTTCCAAAATTTTCGGCTTGACACCCCCTCCCCCACGTGCAAATTGTACTTCACATGGCTGATCGTACCACACTAAAGTACCTCGTCCTCTTCGGTAAATCTGAGAGGAGAATTTAGTGTATTGAAAGACAAGTGTCGAGTCAGGTGGGTCAGCGACCCGGTTGGGGGTACTTTGAACAGTTTCAAATAAGAACACTGGGTCGCTTGTGAACCGGTCAGGGGTACACTCAGTATCAGGAGTAGTAAAATACCAGGTAAATTACCACTTACACGTATATTTACTACTCCCTGCTTAGTACACATGATGACGTCATGTCAAGTACTTTTTGTGTACTTCGAGATGGTAGGTCTACACACTGATTTCTCGGTGACACGTTGAAGGTGTGTGCAGGCTTGCATTGATCATACTTGCACTGTCCATCGTGGAGTAGTAGCCTCCTCCCCCCCCCCCCCCCCACACACACACTATTGAAAGTATCCGGCTCTGACCCGGTTGTAAGAGTTGCGCCTGGTACACGTGTACCCGATTTGTTTGAAACTCTAGAGCAGACACTGAAGACAACGATGTGCAGCAAGTCAAGGAGTGAGGGGGAGGGGGAGGGGGTGATGGAAGTGGCTGTGCTTGACATGCTAGCTTTGAATGGCAACCAATAAAGAACCAACACCGTGGACTGAGCTCAGAATCAGCTTCATAGTGATCATAACCATGCAAGGAAAGAAACGGGTCCGGTCATTGTGTATACGTGAGTTGAAAAACATGGTTTCTCTCAGCATTTGTTTTACGGTACAGTGAGACCATGAGAAGCCTGCATTGGGGCTTCAGGTTCTTACACATGCGCTCTTTTGCCATCCACACGCACATCTGTACATGTGATATCAGTTCCTCTTCACAAGACTTCATGGTGAGGTATTCATATCCGTGTGAACTTTGCTCGATTCTCTCTCCAATTCTAGGTTACGTCCAGCTCAGAGTCGAGCTCTGCTGACGAATCTGATTAGATCCAGCGCCTAGGCTCACCATTTGACAGCGGGCACAACTAGCCGCCGTGCAAACGTACTGCTAACTGCTATTGCGATGATCACAAGAATGAACAATAATCTTTTTGTGATATTTGTAATTTTATGACCTGCACTAATATCGTTTCTGATATTAAAATAGTTTGACGGTTGAATTTACCGGTCATTCAGCTGCGGAGGGCATCCCTCAACAGAGGACACAGCTGAACTATACGGCCGCTGCACAACCAGTTTGCCACATAAATCCTAAACTGTTGGTTGTAGAGTGATATGACTATGAGCCTTAACACCATACATCCTTGGTTATTTACCCAAGATTTGATTTCGCATTGTAAACAGTGTACATAAACTGCTGGCTGCTCTATTCGATATTGACTACCATCACGTTTTAAAAATGACACTAATTAATTTTTGGGGATTTCCCCTTACTCGTGAATAGTAAGTGAAATCTACTCAAAGCTAGCTTGCTGTAATGGACAAGTAAACCTTCTGTCCCCCCCCCCCCCCCCCCCCCTCCCTTCGTGTGGATAATCAGGGTGATGTGTGGGGCATGTTGTGGCATGTTGAAGAGAGTGTATCATGTTATCCAAGTGCGAAGTGCCATTGTTCCGTATATCTGAGGGCCAAAGCGTAGGTGTTGTGCGGAGTGCCGAAACCCACCGTCGGCGTGGGAGACGACTAATGCGCCGATCAAATCTACACTGGTCACTGTGGCATGTGTACACTGGTCGATGCTCAGTACATGTATTCTGAGCTGGAGACAGAATTATTACACTGCAAAATGTGATGTGATGCCTGCGTATGTCCAAGGCTGCATTTTTGTCATTGAACTTGGAAATATCAGCCTCACGCATGTTCCTGTGAAATTGTCGAGAGTCAAAAGCGGACACTTTGCTTTGATTGGTACAACCATGATTGGCGTTGCTGACTGTGCTTCTATGCGGGCATGCCCTAGGGGGATTGTTCTGTGTTCCCTTTTGGGTTATCTGTGTGTGTGTGTGTGTGTGTGTGTGTGTGTGTGTGTGTGTGTGTGTGTGTGTGTGTGTGTGTGTGTGTGTGTGTGTGCGTGCGTGCGTACGTGTACAAAGCATGCTGTGGTACACAGCAGTACTTGGTGTACACCGCCTGGAATTTCCCAATTTAGTTCAAGCAGCAATTTATGACACTGCGGACACATGGGGTTCACATGTACATGTGGTTGTCTGCATTGAACACTGCACCATCCATATCAGTACGCATGCCACCCGTTGTGTACAGCCTGTCAGTTTCAAGTGCAGCCTGGCATGGAAGCTTGAATTTTCAGCACGCAGGTGCTCCATCACTTACATAAGAATCATACAGTACACTGAAACCCTTTTGTCGTCTCTATGGAAACCTGAATGCACACTCATGGTTGGCCTTGCATCTGCAGTATACTAGTATTAACCGGTCTCCCACCAGAAGTACCAACGAAGGGTTTAATTGCTTTTTTTATGACTGACTGTATTCTCGATTACAAACGTTCAGTCACCTGGCAACAGGAGTGGAACGCAAGCTGGAATCTGAATGCTTTGGTGAGGGTTGCACCTACCGCTACATGGATTTTATGATAAATTATGTATCATGATATGGATTGGTGTTGCTGATTGTGAATGATCTTTAGAATAGTTGTCATTGTTCTATTTTTGCAACCAAGGAAACCCACACAAAGCTAAGGAAATGTTCACCGAGTGAACGTGCCTCTACTCAGTCCTGTGCAATGTATTTCGAAGTACGTTTAACTTTGAAGTAAAGTCGTGATGCTCCTACTCGCCCTGTGCATCCACAATGTAGGTTTTACTTAAAGGGGAAGTTAAGGCAAAAATTAAAATTTCACCAGTTGTAGTCTTCGGGGTGCTGAGTCGAATGGTCTTGGTCCGAGGAAGCTGAGACGCTTCCTTCCTACTTGAATCCCAATCGAACTCGCGCACTTCCACCGAAACTGGGTGACTGCGCCCTACTAGATGGGGATTTGTATGCAAAATGTCACTAAAAGCGCCATTTCGTTCTTATAAAAGCACGGATGACCGCGATTGGCCCATATGTTGTAGTCTTTTGGACGCTGAGTCGACTGGTTTTGGTCCGAAAAGGCTGCGAAGCAGCGTTCCTCCTTTATTCCCAATCGAACATGGTCGAACAAGTGGTCACGTGCTGCTGCGTACACCAGTCACCTGGTCACCGTGCCTGCAGGGTACAACTTACTAGCCTGTTTGACCTTTTTTGGGTGCAGTCCTGTCACTCGAGTTGAACTCGAGTTGAACCTTGGTGTGAAAGTTGTCGCCTGCTGGCGTGGTGACCAGGTGATTTGGGCACCCAGGAGCACGTGACCGCTTCTTCAACCATGTTCGATTGGGAATAAAGGAGGAACGCTGCATCGCAGCCTTTTCGGACCAAAACCAGTCGACTCAGCGTCCAAAAGACTACAACATATGGGCCAACCGCGGTCATCCGTGCTTTTATAAGAACGCAATGGCGCTTTTAGTGACATTTTGCATACAAATCCCCATCTAGTAGGGCGCAGTCACCCAGTTTCGGTGGAAGTGCGCGAGTTCGATTGGGATTCAAGTAGGAAGGAAGCGTCTCAGCTTCCTCGGACCAAGACCATTCGACTCAGCACCCCGAAGACTACAACTGGTGAAATTTTAATTTTTGCCTTAACTTCCCCTTTAACACGACTCACTACCGATCACACAACACTAACCTAATATGTAGGGTAGGCTGCCATTTACAATCTGCACTCTGTCCGTCTTCTGGAAACAGCGGATCAGCAGCGAAAACATCCTAGGTGCAACAGTTGTGTTGTCAAACAGCAGCAGGAAAGATCATGGGTTACCGTGCCTTCCAGCCTTGGGCTGCTTGGGCATGGCTGTCGTGATGTGGTGGATCGTCCCAATACAGGATGATTGTTGTACTTCCGCAGGTTCAGTAGAAAGCCAGTACAAAGTTCGCCAGGTACTACTAGGTCGAAAGTTAGAAGAGAAGGGCGTGATAACATTACAATCATGATTGCACCTCTTTTCAACTGTGTTACCGGGTGAGTGCTGAGATGCCTAGCAGCATGCACTAAGCAGCAGAGTGGCGATTGGCAGGGTCAAACATTGAACAGGGTCATAGAGCGCTAGTACTAGACAGTGTCAGTGTAGCGGTGAACAGGTTGCCACAGAACAGACTGAGAGTACCGATGCCGCGATGGCCAGTGCATGCACTGTACTAATGCTTTTTTTTAAACTTTATTTAAAATTATTTTTTATTAATTAATTTTTTAATTCATGGACAGTGTGCTAAACTCTCACTCACAGGACAGGGTGGCAAAGAACAAGACTGACAAGTACTTAGTACTGTTAGCAATGGACAGAGCGCAGATGGACAGCGTGCCAAGGCACGGCCACGGAATGGTACTCAGAGAATAGATTACAGATGAAGGCAACTCTCCCGATCGAGATTTTTTTTAAGCCTCTTATACGGGCAATCGCAGAACATGATTTCACTGGCCTGACCGCGGCAACAACTGCAAAGCAAAACAAATCGAGATCCCGATCGAGATACATGTGTTAGTAATAGTACAGGGAAGAGTCTGCTGTGTTCTCCATTTAGACAAGCTGTCGAGATCACGCGAAACCTTGCTGCAGGTCACACCATCAAGTAACATTGGGATTCTCATGTGCCCGAATGATATTATACCCCTTCTTGTCGAGTCGTCCACAACCGCATTTCTTACAGACAAGTCGTCACACGACACCACAACGCGAGCCAACTTTTACGTGCCCACTCTGGAAGAGTCCAGCACGTTTTCTCGAATGTGTGCAGACATCATATGGGGACACCGTATCTGGGTTGGTTTTCACCTTCATACTATCCGTCAGTGTCTCGTGCCAGGTTAGTGGCACCATTCACCCTTCTCAGCGCGCAATACTAAGAGAGTAATACTACTCTCCCAAAGCCCGGAAGATTGCTGAAGTAAAGGCTGGTTCATTTTGGAGCTAAACTCACACTGTGCTGCACGTGTCGTCACGAGCAGAGCATTATGTCGTGCACCTGGCTCACGCTGCGGTCAACATCGCGACATCGTGAATCACTGGATTGAGTTAAATCATCCGAGCTCGTATCTGCAGATCAAATTCACAATGATGATTCGGGAGTGCCTGCCTGTCCGTTCCAAATATCTCTAGGAACGTCTAGGTGATGCTAGTATCAACTTGACTGTTTCCAGTGGTGTTCGCAACAATGCGTTATAGTATTGTATCCTCCTGGATCATACGCCCCTCGTGTCGTGTCGTTTGGTAAAGTATCGTATTCCGTGATACTTCACTTCAGCCAGCCTCGCAAGAACTAAGTATGATACAGCTGATCATGCTGGCGAACTGTTCCTGTGACAACGTTGTGCTGTCAGATGACAAGAACGTGCCAGGCGTAACGTTGGACGGAATCCTTGGTGGACATCTTTCTCCGACTGGCTATCACTATCAGAGTATCGTACAGGCGAATTGTCAAGACCAAGCACTGAGGCTGTCGCCATTTGCCACGGGTCACTCTCAGGAACGAGCCAAGCTCAACACAATCATATCGGCCTCTTGTACGGGCAACAGAACACAATTTTCTACAGAGTGAGAATCAGTGCGAAAATTTTAATAGGAAAGAGATAAAGGAGAGATGAAGGAGAGATGAAGGGGGGCACTCCACAGTACCTAGCATGAAAATTCTAAAGCCAAGAAAGCAACCGACCGTAACAACTCAAGCCAAGCTGCTCCCACGCTTTCATATCACTCACCTTGGTATTAGTTCACACCTTTGGACCACTCTCAGATCTTTTCTTCTTATTTCTTCTTCTCTCCCACTTTTCGTTTTTTCACACCTCACCTTTATACTTCGCCATATCCTCAAGACGTATAAGTTAGTTTGTTTCCCCGCACAGCTTCTGTTGTGAGACGAACTTTCCCTGCTGATAGTCTCAAGAAAATCGATCAGGAACATTTATTCAACATTATTCTCTTTGTTCTTTGCGTAATGTCCGCTTCACTGATACTATTTTTCGCTATAGTAACGTTTTTGTTTCCTCGCGGCCTTTTCGTTCCCAATAATCATTGGTATTAATTTCTACTCACTGAGACAGAGCTGAAGTTACATATGCATGTACATGATTGTACATGCATGTGATAAGAATTCCATTCGGAATTTCCACTTGAAAATTTGATTTTCTCCACTTTTCCCTCCGTAGTTATCATCACAGTCATGTGGAAGACAACGTAGTTACCACGCGTGCACCCTTAGTACTTGAGCATGGACGAGTTTCGTTTCAGGTTACTGCACTCCGGGGGCACTGGAGGTGATAATTCTGCTCGGCTACACGATTGGCGCTTCGAACTACAGTCGCTCCGATTATCCAGCTGCTCACTTCCGGCTCCCTTCAAAATAAGCTACAGCCTAGTACAGTACAGTACAGGTACAACTAGTACAGTCATGTAGATCTATACATTGTAGGTGTCAATGCAACTGTATCCTAGAGATGTGACGTCAGGAACAAGCTTGCACAATCATACTGTGACATAGTGATTGAAAAGTTCACTTCCGTGCGTTGACATGTCGTGTCATTCTCCAAGCTGCATTCTCATTGGTTGCTTGAAACGAAGCTGCGTGAAATCAACGCCATACATGGTACTTGGAAGTAGCATTTTCGGCAATGTTCGACGGTATGATGGTAGTTGTATGGCAACATTTCTTGTGGGATGCTGATTTTCCCCCGGCGAAGGTTAGAGTAAGGGAATCAGGTGGAGAGCGGTACTGTTGGTTAGAAGTGCCCACCATGCAGCTCTCTCTCTCTCTCTCTCTCTCTCTCTCTCTCTCTCTCTCTCTCTCTCTCTCTCTCTCTCTCTCTCTCTCTCTCTCTCTCTCTCTCTCTCTCTCTCTCTCTCTCCGATCATCACAGGTGTTGTCACTCGGGCTCGTTGCTACAGTATTTCGCAATATTGCACCTAGTCGTAACTAACACGTGTGACGCACATGTAATTGGATTACGCACTAGCGATGTCACGTGACGCACATGTAATTGGATTACGCACTAGCGATGTCACTTTACTATCCCAATCACCACAGTTAGCAAAGTATTGTACATTTGCCTTGTTGACCTCAGCATGCATCAGTACCTGTCCCAACGCAATTGATCCTGTTGCATATTCTCAGCAATGAGTCTCATGTAAAGTGGACAAGTGTCTCTAACCGAGTTTCATCAGATGAATTTCGACAACCTGGCGTAACGCTAGGCTGCGATCAGTGCCGTTTGTCGAACCGAGGTGGACCTAAGGAGAGTGGATGAGGTAGATGTAGCTCCGATGATCCATTCATAGACCGTCGAGACTCTCAGGGTGATAAACATCTATCAACACGGTTGTGCCAGTTCACTATTTATTTAGTATTATGGAACATACTATGGGCCAAAAAGTAGTATTTTTAGGACTCTGAATTGTGAGAAACTAGTCGTAAGTCTGACCTTGGATATGCTGTACCTCTGATACAAATGATGTGTTTTTTGGGCTCTTTGGAGGTACCGGTACCGAATGCCATGGTGATAAGTCTCCCCACACGTACATGTAACACATGTACGTAGCCTATACTAGGTAGTTACATTGTAGGTGTAAGTGCTTGGACCCTGCTTACACGTACTTGTACATCATGAGGGCAGGTCCTTCATGGAGACAAAATGGAGAAAAAAACGATGTCATTTTGTGAGTCAGAGTTTCTGTAGCCCGAGCAAAGATCATCTGCGTGTGGAGATACCCGATAAACAGACACGAGAAATAGCAGAAGAGGAGCACTATACGCATTGGCTTTTGCAGAATGTGAACTGGACGTCAGCATCGTCTTTATAAAGATCGTTAACACTGGTATGTTCCGTATGAACGCACCCTGTAATCATATTCAACAACTCAACTTTTGTTGAGGTGGTATTGACTTTTGCAGTGTTTGAAGATGCGTCAGTAGCTCGACTGTACCGGCACAGGCATACATTAGGAGTTCCGACCCGGACCGTGTCGCCGCCTTTCTCCTCTGCTTGTCTAGTGAGTAGTTGGTATTGTGGCACATGGACAAGTACAGGTATAGGTATTGGTAATCGTGTGTTCGTAGGTCCCCTGGTGGCGACTAATCATGGTAGTAACTGACGCGTGTAATAGAACCGTCGCCGTCCACTGTGGACCTGGTCTGGAGGGCTATGGGGAGTACAATTTAGAATATCACCATCATGGTGCCATCATTGTCTCTTTCCACGTGCTGCTCTGACACTGCCATTATTATTAACACGTAACCCTCTACCCGTGTCAGGCCTGAAAGCGAACTCACCCTAACTGCCCTAGCTAAGGATCTGACGTCATCCCCCATTGACAGGCTCTCCCTCTACTGACTAGTACTAACTACTATTACTATTAGCCTAGTCCGCCGATGCGCCGAACTCCAGGCTGCCGCCGCTGCTGGAAAGCGTCTGCATGTACCTCCTCCTTCTCACGTTCGCACTGCACCGGGCTGTCAGCGACCTTGTCAATTTGGCGTTGACAGGCGGGTTTGGCTACACGTGAGGCATAGGCCTGAGGGTGCCATGCAACTAGCACCACTGCTAAACCTTGTAAAAATTAAGTTTACGAGAACTAGACGTTTGGCAAGGTAGAATATCCAGCTGGGAATGAGAGCCAACGGACTCTCGTCCAACCTGTAGTTCACCAGAGAGAAATCAATGAGAGGGTTCAAGATGCAGCTTTAGGGATCGTGGCTATCCACCCACACACAGTAATACTAATAGTGCTGGTTAGTACTCTGTATGATTGCTAGGACTACGAAGTGCTACTTCATATTCATGTACATACGTAATATATTCAATCCCATGCGATGTTGACGTGTGTTTTGACTATCGTTAGAGTCATTGTCTCGATCCTTTAAGACGGGGTCAGGGTGTATGTCACGTTCGCATCAGATCTTTCGGTTCATTCATACCACCAACACACGTTCGGTTAGCCCTCACGACAGTGGTCAGCAATGCGTCAGTCCGGACTTGCACGTGCCGAAGCCGACACCAATCGGCGACGCATTATGGTACCTCTATGGCTGAATCTGTGAATGTTGAACCCTTCCCTAGCTGTATTCACCACGGGCAACAAGGATGATGCAGTGTGCAATAATACTGATAACCTAGAGCCCTGGGCCTGGTGCTGCAATTTGATCAAATGCATTCGTCTCGTGCTGTTCCTTACAATCACTGACGGTGGTACTATCTTGGATCGGCAAATCAGGCTGTAGACGCTACAAACCCGTTCAAGCTGGTGATGGTTGCACCCAGGCGATGTTCGCACACCCTGCAAGGCGGACGCTTCTGCACACGTGTTGTACGCCATCGGGCGTGGGACCGGACGTCGCTGATCACCTCAGTCTGTGGCAGGCGACTGCAGGGAACATTGATGGAAATCACGAGGGCCATTGTACCCCCAGACAGCTAGGAGAGCTGGCTGCCGTGGCTCCCGGCTTATCTGCAGCGCATCTCTGGCACAGACTTCAGCCGCATCATATAATGCACTCAACACAGGCGGCTATGGCTTGTCCGAGATTCAGAGATAGGATCTACACCAGATTACTAACACAAGGCATCGCTGCACAAGTGTCTCGCACGTGAGAGGTGGCCAGAGAACCTATGGGACTGAGTCTGACCGACACAGAGTTCTTGTCAAGAGCATAGGCAGCCGGAAGAATCACCTGAGGGCAAGCGCTGCTGACAGCACTCCTACGACCTGTGTGCTTGCTTAATCACCAGTAGGTATGGAGAAGACGCAGAAACGGTCAATCAACAGAGGATGCAGCGAAGAATAACGTGAAGCACTAACTACACAATAACGTAGCGACAGATTGAACAAAGCGCGTGAGGTATCATAGCATCGCTTTTGCATTAACCTTCAGAGTAGGTCGCCCCTGTCAGCGACCCCGCAGTGGTTCGTCCCCAGGTTCTATTAATATAATCATAATACCGGTATGTATGACACAGGAGAGAGAATAGAAGCTCTGAGGTTCACGTTGAATCGTGATCACCAGACAGACTTCGGTAAGCAACAAAACAAGAGCAAGATAGCACTATGCTTCAGCAACCATGCAAAATGTGTTTTCATGATTCTTACTGGTTGGTTGTTTTCAGACTGCCAGTTGGGACCTTGCATGGAGTGATCGGCATCGCTGCTGGTTGCAGTCAATGAGAGGCATAGCATTTTCAATGTGTTTTAAATCGGAATTTGTGTCACTTGCCAAACCTGAAAGATTCCACTTCACTTTGTGTATATTAGGGAGGGTGGGGGACGTCGGGATGGGGGAAAAGCAGTGGCTTGGCTTGACCATGAATTTGATTACACCAGCTAGACAGAGTGACGTGATTGAAGTGAGACGACCAATTAGCGCTACCATCCGACTGTTTCCTCTTACAATGCACCATTTCTTGTTCGGAAGAGAAGGCGCAAGCTATCACAAACCATACTGGAGAAATACTATTACCGGTAGTCATTGGGTCGGCATGCGTGTATATTCTAATGACCAACCAGCGCTGGTAACATTGCGTATGCTTTGCATAAAGATCGATAGGTGCGCCAATACTAATAGTAAGAAAATGGAGAGTTTGGGCGTGGGCACCGAGCTCCGTGTCCATGCATTCAAAGTTCAAACTCTATCACACTGTAGGATAATATGTCAGCCAATTAATTTAATCTCCCTTAGACTGCCCAGTCTCCATCACAGTAAACAATGTAAAAAACTGTTGTTGTAAACGCAAATCACCGGAGACAATCAATGCTTGTTTGCTGCTCCTTCAAGTTTCATGCTCTCGTAATCATCAGGCAACACACGCAAATCATTACTGTTCTATTGCCAAATGTATTACACACACACACACCGACACACACACACACACACACACACACACACACACACACACACTGAGGTCCTTTCAGAGCAACCTCAGTGGATCGCAAGGAGGTAATACTGAAGGATCAACTGAGGAAACGTGTCCCCCATCTGAGTTGCTCGCCTGGCTCTTGGTGGTTCTAAGTACTAAGTGCAGCGCTTTGCGTGTGGCCTCAGATCGTGACTTTTCTATTCACACCAGCCTTGAGGCGTTACCGGTGAACGGAGCGGGACGCACTGCTGCTACCCAATGGTAACCCTTGTCCCGGATGATACAATAATCAGGTACTTGATAGACTAAGTAATAGTTGTTACACGCGAGATCTCCGCGCTGCAAATGTGTTCAGGCGATGAACTAGCTGTGCGGAGGGTAATGTGTTCATCTGTTGTGGGCAAAACGGTGATAAGTGCATCCATTTAAAAGTGCAAGACGAACGTGATATCGAGCCTATAGAGCAGGAACCTCCGACCCTCACACACCTCCTGATCAATGCCACATGTCCAAGAACAGGCCAACAATGGAGATTGTCGGGCATCTGAGCGTCATCTTTCCAGCACACTGCTTATGGTGACAGCCGCATCGCGTGGACTTCTGCGAGTGCAACTGAATGGAGATCAGGATGGACACTATTACCATTGCACGATTGCACTGGTCTCCATTGTCCAAGCTAGGGTATACGTTTTCATCTGTTGTGCAGGAGCCACAGAAATTAAATTTATTAACTACGTTCAACACCCTTCTGACAGCACTTGAGAACTCCTTGAAACGCTTGACGGTAAGAGATTTCCACATCGAAGTGTATCCTCCACTTTGCTATACATGTATCGTAGATGTGTGTACACTGTGCAAACAACCATTTCGTGTTCTGGTCTTTCCTTGAGTGCGGCGGTATAATGATTCCTCGTGTCAACATGGTGTTAGCGGGAGACAATTACCATCTAGGGTTCTGTGGTTTTTGAGAGAAGTGGCATTCATTGAGGTTCAAAGACTTGTTGACGAAATATTTGTCTTCCTGTTCTGGATGATTAGCTCAATCTCATTCGAAGTAACACTACACTCTTTGTAATCACATATTGCAAGTGGTTACCAATTAGCACACAATGCGAAAGGATAATGAATACTGCTTCAGAATAACTAATATCTATGGTCCCGTTTATGGCTGTGTTTGGTGCTCATGATCGCACACATACACAGTACATACACATGTGGATCTACCTGTGTACTTCCCACAAGGCATTGGTTTAGTGATATCTGAATGCTTTCAAGACTGTGATGGAGATAAACAATTGCACACATTTCCAGACTGCCGCCCTGTCTGCAATGACACATACAGAACTGCCCTCCACTCGATATCAATGACTACCTAGTGCCTACATTGTACATGAATACCACTGTACCTTTCGCAATCAAGACTAAGATTAATCCTCGCTCTAGGTTGTGTGAACTCGGATGGTGAGCCAATGTACTCATGGACAATACATGATTCTAATAAAAAGAAGGAAGGACACAATTTGACCAGTTCTGACTAACCATCCGCCAACGTAACAATATCATTATACAGTCATCTAGTGTGATAACAAGGCACAAACCTGACAGGAAGTACTGAGACATTCAACGACCTGACACCTACATGTATATGTAGCTCCTACACATCTACGAGGCGCAAACCATCAGCCGTCCAAATTGGAAAGCTCAGGTTAGGAAGCGTCCAATGGGGGGAAGGAAAGCGCAGCGAAGAAGAGCACGAGCTACAATGTACGTCCCACTCTAACAAAGAATGCCGAAAGTTACTGGATGGTGACGAAACTAGTAAGACAATTGTACACACCAGTCTGACTATAACTCGACGACGCGAAGCAACAGACCACCCAATGGGGAGGCTCAAGTTTATGTTACAAACATACTTCGAAGTGGAAAGGAGAAACTAAGCGAAAGACGAATTGTGACAAACCGAAAATATGAAGCTTCAAGGTTGTTGATTTCGTCTCGTAGATGTCAGGTCATTGAATGTCTCAGGACTCCCTGTAAGAGGTTTGTGGTCCGCGTCCTCTTTATCTAGGCTGTAGCATACGCGAATTCGTCAATCTTAGTCGCCATTATTCAGAACGTTTCCCTGAGTGTATAGCCAACAGGCCAGGACTGGCGGAAGCATGCAGTTTCGTCTCTCTGATTGGTCCGTCCCTACTGTGCCTAGTCTGTCATACAGTGTGTATGATATGGTGGGTACACATGACCTCCTCAGCAGTAAACACCCGTCGGTAGCCAAAAGTTGGTCCGGCCATGTCCGGCTATGTCCGGCCATGTCCGGCTATGTCCGGCCATGTCCGGCCATGGTCTGACCAAACGGAGCGGTTTCGCCGGGCTTGCAGGCCTATGGCCTTCTTACAGGGTTCCCATGGTGGAGTTGCAAGCAGCTGGCGCGAAGAGCAGGCAAGGTATGATGGGATCACAATATTATGTTAACACGTAGTGGAGTCCCAGATACATGTATGGGCCGCTGTCACCGATACTAGTACACCTGAGTTTCACTGTCTCTTGTGAGAATGTACCTGTTAGAAACTGACAATGTATGGGGACTGCTCAATTCAGTGTCATTCGATTCTGACTCGTAGCTGGAGTGTATGTGGCCATGGCATGGGGCATCAGGCAAGGGTTAGAGAGGCTGTTTTAACACGGGACGTGTGGCGTGCGATGGCCGATTCGCCGTAGCTTTTCCTGACGCATCCTACTAGTACCTGTCTCTGTCGACTTGCAGACAGAATATTTGATTTCCGCGCTACCTACCATGTCAGGCAGTTGTACCTATTGAGGTTAAGGGTTCTCTCCATTCGCCAATGTTCCACGCGTTCCGTTCAGCGCAGCTATACAGCGGCTACTCTGCACGACGCGGTCTGGGCAAAGGGGAAAGTGGACACCATTCCCACAACATTGGGCCACATCGGACCGCACGTTCAATTGCGAAAACCTGTGCACTGCTGTGCAAAAGTCAGCAATATCCAGGAGAACAGTGGAGTCGCAGGCTTGACCGCTTCACGGAGTTTCTCACGCTTGGTCCAGGCTTAGCCAGTAGAGGAGTGGACTGAGGCAATGACAAGATAGCTTTTACTGTCGACATGTCAGGTTTACATTGGTCCCAGACCGGAGCTGCAGCAGCTCAGCACGTGTACGCCTGACAAGTGTCGTTCATTGGCTGATGGTCCAAGCCCCCTGCGCCTCTTCGCCTGCCACTGCGCCAGTCCAGGCTTGGCAGCTCCCACATGCATCACGTGCTGGAACCAGCGACCGCACACCGACAGGCAAGGAGGTCGTTGGTCCCGGCTCGGGATTCGCGAAGCTTGCCTGCCTATAAAACCGTCCCTATCAAGCCGCTGAGAGATCACTAACAAAGAAGTTTTCTCTTCTCCTCTTTCAAAACTCTGTTCCTCGTCGTAGCAAGATAATATTCAAGTCGGCTAAATCATGGCTAACCGTGATGTGATCGTCGCGTGCCTCTGCACCCTCCTAGCCCTGAACGACTGTCTACTGTCTCTCTCTGCTCACGCGTCGCTCATCGACGGTAAGCATGATACTGGCTATAGTTTGCGCCTGCCAATAGATTGCATGACATTGTTCAGAGTTATAATATTATTAGTATTTTATTACTTCGAAGTTCTAGTAAGATACGCAAGAATGAATCAGTGGTGTGAACCATTGTTCATCTCACACTGACAAATGTTTCGATGTTCCTCGTCGTATCGATCCCGTTTCTAAGCTCTGGAAAATCTTTCTAAAATATCGGTTTTATGTACATGTACGTGCGATTCTCGCTGCGTAGTCGGTAACCGATTTTAGATTGAACAAATGAACAACTTGCTGTAGTCTGGATGAGAGGTTGCGGTTGTTACTCGTGTCAACGGCAGTCCACTCCGCACTGTAGGTGGACAAGCATTGGAAGACCCGCTGTCGTTTATTCCCATCAATCGTCTATTTGTCTCGGCTAGGCAGTCCCCCTTGCGCTCGGTTCATTATCACGAAACGTCCCAATTGGGAATTGCTATTGTCTCCCGTGCATGCTGCATAGTACTACTACAATATTGTAGTAATAATAATAATAATTATTATTATTATTAGTATTACTTCTGTAGCGTAGACTGAAGGAAATGCATGGCGAGTGCAATTGTCGATCGAGGAGTACATGATTGTACATGTACACCCTGCTGGGTGAGTGTGTTCTGGCGCGTTCGAACCTCAGCAGCGTCGTGTTCTCTCAGCGTGAGTCCGTGAGAAAACTCGATTAGCAAAATTAGCAGCGTGTTCGGGCACTTGAGTTCCGTGTACGTCTCGTCATTTTCCTGATTGACTCTTGCTCAGCTGCCGTTGAAATGCTCCACACGCAGACAGATTCCCAGGCTGGTAGCATCTGTGATCAGACTGCTAATTATTTGAAATCAACAACACGAATCCCTGCAGTCGCCAATTTTCTGCTTTTTCGAACATTCCTC